CCTAAATAATCAAGATTTTGACGATGAGGAGTATTGACTCCAAATGTTATTTGATTGGTGTTTGATTCGATATTGAGCTGATCAGTTATGATGAGGCTATCAACGGTTGTAATATCAGGGGACTCAAAATCATTAAACAAATCGATGTATTCCATATATATGAGTGACGAGTATTATAAAACTTTTGGATTGAAGCCTGTGAACAAGGATTACTTGGACAAGCAAGAGTTGTACAAATTGTATTTACAGCCAAAGAAAGACAAGGGATTGAACTTGCCACACTATCAAGTGTTTGAAACAGGATTGAAACAACAAGCTGATTTATTATTCCTACCGGATGATGATGGATACAAATATGCTTTGGTAGTTGTTGATCTTGGAAATCGATTGACTGATGCCGAGCCATTGAAGAATAAAACAAGTGCAGGAGTGAAGTATGCTTTTGATACCATTTATAAAAGAGGTATTTTGGTGATGCCCAAACAGATACAGGTGGATCCAGGTAGTGAATTCAAAGGTGAGACCAAAAAAATGTTTGAAGACAACGGAATATTTGTTAGGTTTGGTGTTCCAGGCAGGCATAGGATGCAAGCAATGGTGGAGGCAAGGAACAAGACTCTTGGAACTGTTTTGATGAAGAGAATGACTGCTCAGGAAATGTTGACAGGGGAGACGAGTAAGCATTGGGTTGAGGACTTGCCAAAGGTTATAAAGGCAATGAATGAGAGGTTCAAGGTTGATCCAAAGAAAAAGAAACCATTATCTGAATGGGTAACTTGCAGTGGTGACTCTTGTCATGTGTTGGATGAAGGGACCAAGGTTCGGGTCAAGTTGGAAGAGCCAATTGATTATGCAACCAGAAAGAAGGTGTATGGCAATTTTAGATCAGGTGATATCAAATGGAATCCTGAAATTAGAACAATTGAAAGGTTATTGTTATTGCCAGGTTATCCACCACTTTACAAGATACAGGGAAGTAAAATATATTACACCAAGAATCAATTGCAAGTGGTCCACAAGGATGAGGAGAAACCGCCATTGAGTGTTGTAAGAGGTAAGGATATTGTCGATGTGGATGAGCCCAAAGAGGTGATTGAATTTGATAGTGATGATGTACCACGACCTTGGCATCGTCGGTAAACTGCAGCACTTACAGTATGTTTCATAAGTTATGGCCACCCCCTGTTCAAACAGGTACGAGTTTGATATCTCCTACAAATATGGTTCAAGATTCTTATTCACTTCCAAATATAGTAGTCCACTTTTGCTCAAAAATTTCCATTTATGAATATTTTTCCAAAAATGGAATTAATATATCTTTATCATTCAAACGATATTTTTGTTAAAGTAATGAACATGTCCATTATTTATGCAATAGTAAAGAATGAATGAGTTCAAACATCAAACACTTTGTTGGAAGAGATAGAATATTATTTATGTACATTACAATTAATCATGTCATTAACAGAAGAAGAGAGAGCTAAAATCGTGAGAGCCAGAAGGAGAGGATATTCAAAGAAATTAATATCAAAGATGTACAATATTTCCCGATCAACTGTGAGCAGGACTATTCAACGACACAGCGAGCGAGGAGACTTCAAGGACCGTCTCAAATCGGGACGCCCTTCAAAGTTTTCAAGAAGACTTAGAAGGAGGATCATCAAAGCTTTGGTCAGGAAGGAGGTCATCACTTTGGACGAGTTGAAAGCCAAACTTGAACTGAGATACGATACAGAGATATCAACGGCTCAAATATCTCGTATCGCTGCAAAGGAAGGTCTCACCTATCGCAGTTTAAGCAGGAAGAACGATCTAAAGCAAGTAAACGCAGATCAAAGGCTCCAGTTCGCTATGGCTCATCGAGACTGGACAGCGGAACAATGGGAACAGATAGTATTCTGTGATGAGACCACAATTGAGTCCAACATCAAGAACTACCGTCAACACGAGTGGGCTAGACAAGATAACAACACATTCAGTCGAGTTCATGGCATCAGGAGACTTCCCGGAACCAAGGTCAATTTCTGGGGATGTGTCACGAGTGCTGGTGTCGGATATCTCTCTGAGATTGAAGGCAATTTAGAAAACACTCAATACACGGAGATTCTTGATGATGCATACTCTCGATCCATCCGATATTATCATGGCCAACTCCCAGACTTTACACTGGCGATGGACAACTGTCCAATTCATAGAGCAACAAATGTCACCAGCCACTGGAGAAGGAAGAGGATACCCACCCTATTCATTCCCCCATATTCACCAGACATCAACATTATAGAGAATCTTTGGGCGATCTTGAAGAAGAGAGTCAAGAGAGAGCTGGCAAAGAACCCTGGAGTGGTCCTTTCCGACCTTGCCAATGAACAATGGGAGCTAATGGATGACAGCATTGTTGAGAACCTATACGCCTCCTTGCCACAACGAATGGAGGACATTATAACAGCGAATGGATGGTGGACCAAATATTGACAACCTCCTTTGTCATTATTCTAGTTCATCGTTCCGATACCTTCGATCAATTTTCGTTGCATAAATAATGGCCATGTTCACTACTTATCATTTCAACACTCTCATTCAATTATTTGTAAATAAATATAACTAGCAATAAGTAATTCAATCAAGATTAGTAGATAATTGAGTCTATTATTTAGAGAGATAAGATATCATTTGGTATCTCTTAATATTGAAGAGATATCAATCACCTATCTGTTTGCTCAGGGGGTGGCCATAACTTATGAAACGTACTGTATTCTTGGCTGCGCAGATCAAAATGTTGGCATTGACTTGATTGAACAACTTGTAGCCCTTAATTTTCTTTGGTTGTTTTGGTAGTTTGATTGGCTCTACCTGAACATTATTTATTGTTTGTAGCTTGATCATCTATATTTGTACGGTGGATATTTTCCACCTTAGGGATAGATAGTGCTAGCTCTTTCTATCCGTACTTGACAAACTCAATTGCACAAGTGATAGGTACATTTGTTTCCACTCTATTACCATCTTGATTAACACATTCGAAATAATACGATCCTTGGATGAACTTCTCGCTCTTGTTTATGTACTTATAATTTGGTGCAAGGAAATTAACTTGCTCGGTACTACAGAATAATATATTATCAGGTATCAAATTTGTTCTAATTACAGCAATTTCATTTCCAGGTGCATTGAATAAACATGAGTATGACTTTAATATTATTAGATCTGGGACGAAATCAATATTGATGGATTTCCAAACTTTGCCATCACCTTGATTAGGAGGATCACCTCCAGTTCCAGGTAAAATTGCATTAATAAACACTGTCTTGACACTCATTGCTTTTGTGTATCCCATTTATATATTGTTTAATCAAGAGATTAATAAATATATTTACATCAGGAATGGATCCCCAACTGCAGGAATGACCAACTTACGTTTACAAACAACTGTTGATTGATGAGTCAATGCTCGTGCTTGTGATAGGAAGGCAACAAAATCCCATTTCTGTTCACCAAGGTTTAGATCGATACCAGTAATTGAGTTGTCTTTGTTAAAGTTTGATGTTCCATCACCAAACTCTTCGATCCAACACCAATTCCTTTTATTTATTTGTGGATTGAGTATTGTTGAATCCTTGAGAATCCATCTCAGAGCCATGTAATCATCATTCTGTTGCAAGTAATAATCATATTGCATCAATCTGTTATTGTTAATCATCGTGTAGAAATGATCCAAGAGTGTTTCACGCCAGTTGTTGTTGTAAATTGCTGTATTGGTTGTTGAATCAGTTCTGAATACACTGTGATAGATCCTCTCCAATGTCAAACCAGCTTGCCTGCTCACTCTTAATGTAATTGTTTGATTAGGTCCTGTAAGTGCTGATTGATAAGTGAAGCAGTATGGTATCATCAACGAGAATCCATCTGGGCTAAATATCTTGGTCTGGAGTTCATTAACAATTGCCAAGTTCTTCTCAACAGCCAAATAAATCGCCATATCTGTAACATTGAATGATGCTGGAGCTGGAAGTGCTACTGGATTGGTTGTTGGATTTGGACTTGGATTAGGTTGGATTGATGGTGATGGATCTGGAAGTGCTGCAGGTGGATCAGCTGCAAAGGCAATGTTTGATAGTTCAGACCATACGAACCTGATCAATAGTGTTTGATTCATCATTATGTCCTTGTCAACACAGAGAATTGATTCATAGAGTTGATTGAATGGAATGGTAACAACAACATTGGCCGCATCTCCGGCTGAAATAAAGTATCTTGCTTCTGTATCTGGCACAACTCCTTCTTGTCCAATACTGTTTGGATTGTATCTTAAATCTCCACGATAAGCAATTGGTGTTTGTGATGAAACACAAGGGATCATGTATTGATCATCAGTTCCGTTGTAACTCGCAAAAGTGTTCTCTGTCTCGACCAATGGTTTGTTTCTCATAGTCACCATCTTGGAGTGCAAATGGAAGTTGGTATGATCCATCAGATACAATCCACCTCTTGTAAATACCTGGATCTGTCGGAAGAATGGACAAAAGTCAGCAAACATCATCGTGTTCTTATTAGGTACTGCAGGTAGATTGAATGTGAACCTAAAGTATGACCTCGCAAAGTTGTATGCTTTGGATGGTGGTATCTCAAAGACACTGTCATTTCCACCAGCGTAAACTGATGTTGATGTTGTTCCTGATTGAGGGAACAACCTCGTGAATTCATACTCAGGTTCGGCAACAAGTAAAGGTGTGTAATCTAATTCCTTTGAAACGACGTTCTCCATCTATATTATATATTGTAGTGATCGATAATATTTGCGTCCTATTAGATCTCCTCTCCTACTTGAATGCTCTCATGATCCTTGACCAGCAAGATCTCAATGTATCCGCGAATGAGCTGAAAGATATCGTTGTGCTTATACAGAATGATCGTCAAGTTCAAGTCGACACCATTGAGAAAGATCTCAACTCCATCCTTGTCTGTTAAATAAATGTAGAACGTCTTCTTGGTCTTTGAGACTAGCTGTTTTGAATATGCTTCGAGGTTATGGTTAGTCCAATTGACGTAGGCAAAGTCAGGCGTTCCAGCAGTACATACCTCTTGGAGGACATCATCTGATCCATTGCTGCACAAGTCTGAATGAATGTAAAGGATGTTCTCAATCTGCAAGTCGATCACGTTGGTGCTCGTCAATTGTCCATTTTCAAAGTTGTTGATACTGTCTTGATTGAAACCTAGATGATGGAACAGGTCAGCATCATTGAATATTAATGCTACCTGAATCTTATCGCTTGAACAAATGAACGTATATTTACCTGTGTTTGGTTGTTTAGATGTTGGCCATGTGATTGAATATGTTAATTGATTGGGTGATTGTTGTATTAACTGTGTCTGTATTGTGTCTTGAAGTGATAACCTTGAATAGTTCCCAACAGGTATTGTTATTACAACCTCTTGATCATTCTCTCTAAGTGTGAATGTGTTTCTATTCCTTGGGACTGTGTAGAATGACTTGGGAATGCAAGCTTGTAACACAGCAACACGATCAAAATCATCATGTTCATAACACTCTATGTTGTATCTAAAATTAGAGATCGTGCCTGACAATCTGTTCAGCGAATTGACATAAAAGATCCTCTTGTGGGTGATCAGACTCATTTGATTTAATATTATTACAATTATATAATAACAATGCCACAAATAAAGAGAGGTTACGCAGGATCAGCAGCCAACTTGGCAAAGTGGAGAGAAGAACAGAAAGCATTGAAAGAGAGTGCTTATGTGTTGTATGACTCTGATGATGATGGAGATAATGGTGATGGTGATCAACAACCACCAGCTACAGTTGAACAACCAAAGACAATTGTCGAATCAGTGAAGCCCAAACCAGTACGAGCAACCAAACCTCGTGTCAACAAGACAGATCTGATGGACAAGAAACTTGATGAGTTGATGGAGAAGATAAACAACTGGGAAACCACTCAAAAGAAGCCAGCCAAGGAGGCAGAGCCACTCGTCGTTCAAACTGCTGTCCCAGTTGCTCCAATCGCACAACAAATCGTACGTCCACCTCTGCGATCAGACATACTCAAACACAGACTACTGACTAAATTCTAACGATCATATATATGTATAATGGTTAGACATGACGTCCATTTAGAGATCAGCGAGAGCACCAAGGGCAAGAAGCTCAGAGTAAAGATAAAGAAGATTAGACCAGCGCGATTGCGACGCGACAAGAATGGCCGATATATCATAAGTAAGAAGGGGAGAGTTTACATCAAGTCTCGCAAGTCAGACTTGAAGTTGATCAAGAAGCTGATTGCAAAGGCATCCAATGCCAAATCCATACTGACACCATCAACTTCATCACACATGACACCAACAGAAGGAGCATACATTAGATCAATACAGGACGCCAACTTTAGAGAAGCGCTGATCAAGAATGCGAGAGACTTGGAACAACAGACCAGGGCCAAGGTCGATGCGATCGTCAAGGAACATGAGCGACCAGCGTCAGCACTGCCAGCACCAGAACAACTATTACTCGATGCAGCAATACCAGCAGCAGCGCACGAGATTGGTGAGCATGGTATCAATGAAGGTGACCGCGTTGTCCATGTGTTCCAGGATGTGACACCACCTCAATCAGATGATGAAGAAGAGAGCGATTATGAACAACCCGGCAGCTTTGACAGACTCTTCGAGAGACAGAACGCAACTCATGGATTGCTCGAGCAGACTCATGCCAACCTCCTCGACATCAAGCAATCACTAAACAAGCGATTCCAACAAGATATTGAGAAGCTCGAAATCGAAGCGGCTGTAGAGCAGAAGAGGCATGAGTTGGAAATGGCAAGACAAGCAGCTCAACGTGAACGCGATCAGAATAACATGATGGCCAAACTCGACAAGCTACTAGCGGAGAGGAAGACAATCAACAAACAAGAGTCACCTGACACAGCCAAGCTAGAATATATCGATGAACAGATTGAACTCATAGGACGCCAACTAGATAATGTTGATGTCAAGAGAATGCTGGATGAGGCTGTTAGTGAACAACGATTGGAGCGCGAGTTGGAGAGAGCAGAGAGAGAGAAACAAAAGACTGTTGAGAACATGAAAGCACTAGAGGTCATGGCAGCGGCTGCGGCGCCGAAACAGAAACAACCCAAGCCTTCACTACTCAAGAAGCCATTGCCCAGCACGTTACCCAAGGCTGTTCCACCAGCGAGACCATCGCCGGTGTTAGCTCCCGAAGTAACACTTCGTGATGTTCCAAAGGTAAAGACAGAGCCAGAGGCAACATCACCATACAGCACTCCTCCACAAACCTCAACTACTACCACAACAACGACAACAACTAACAAGAGATTATCCATCCCAGCATCCAGTATCAAGGCAATCAAGGACGTACCCAAGGAGCTGACTCCAAAGGTGGAACCAATCATACAGAGATACATGGATGGAGACGCGACCTTGACCAACCCAACAACACTCTACTATCAGCTGGGCAAGGAGTTGAGGACAGCAACAATCAGCCAAGATGAGAGACGGGATCTGCAGAGACAATTAAAAGATGATGCGATACAGGCGAAGCGAATACAGGACATGAAATCAATGCAACAAGTATCAGCATCAGTCGCACCTGAAGTGTTGGATCTTATCAAACAGTACTGGGCTGGTGACATTGGATCGAAACAGTTTGGTACACTATTAAAGAAGGAGCTCAAGTATGAGAAGAACAAGGTCATGTTGTTYGATGCTATTGTTAATGAAGCCAACGATATGAGAAAGGGCAGCGGTAAGGTTGAGGATGGTGGACTGTATGATTACGAGATTGAGAAGTTGATGATGCCGTACACCAAGTATGGGTTTGAAGGAGTGATCGCGTCTGATCAATTGGATGAGCTGAAACCAAAGCAGCGAATGTCATTTATTATGAACTTGGACAACAGCCATCAGCCTGGCAGTCACTGGGTCGCATGTAACATTGATGCAAAGGGTGACAAGGCGATCGAGTACTACGACTCGTTTGGTGATGATCCGAGCTCCGATTTTATGAAGAGGATGAAGCAGTTGGTTGGAGAGATCGACCCAGATGTATATTTAAAGTTCAAAGTTAATAGAGTGATCGATCAAGCAACCAATAGCGACAACTGCGGCTTCCACGCCATGAAGTTCTTGTTGAATCGWTATCGAGGTGTTCCATTCAAGGAGGCGAGTGGATACAGTGATGTGAGGAAGGAGGAAGGGAAGGCGAGAGAGATGAAGGAGAAATACAAGAAGTTTGGWTATTTATGATCATYAGGATAGTTTATTAACTACTGTGATGAATGATTACTGGGTTGTGTCCATCCCACCTAAAGCTCTCTTCTTCTCATTTATCTTTTCTGCCTGCTTCTTGTTATTTTCCTCTTGCACGATCAACTTATCGTACTCTACCTGTTGCTTTTTGTAAGCATCTTCTTTGGTCCATTGCTCGGTCGCGATTGACTTAGCGAACTTTACAAGAAGATTATAGGATTGCTCCTGGATTGTCTTATATAATTGTTGTGCGCCAGTATCCAGGCTCTCAAGATTTTTGATGATTGTTGACGGAGAACGACGGTATGTTGTGAGCGACGCCTTGTGATTTTTTAGCTCTTGCATGCCAATAATGTGCTCCATCAACATCTCCTTCAGAGCCCCGCATTTCATCTGGAGTTCTGCAACGCTTGTGACCTCGTTGTTGAGTTTTCCGCCCTTGAGAAGGAGGTCATCCAAAGGTGCCATTGATGGACGGTTGTAGTTGACAAGGGGTGGGGCTGGTATATTATTGTGGTGAAGTTTCAACCTTAATTGAAAGATTTCCTCCTGGTATGTTTGCTCTAGTGTTGAGAATAATTCTCCGTGTTTGTACCTCCTGCTTCTGGCGATGGGTGTCCTTTTCGAGTAATCTATTACTGGGTCGTTATCTATCATAGTTTTAAAGAATTGAGATTATTGTTGTAGTTGAGATTGTTCTTGGATAATATCATATAAATGTGTTGGCCACACCTTTACCACTTTTGATTGAACAGTTCACCCATCAACAACGTAATATGTATATGATCAAACAGTGGTGTTGTTGATTAATCGTTTGCACAACTATGACTTTGATGATTGATAGAACACTGCATCCGTCAACAACACAATCGGGGTATGATCAACAGTGATGCTGGACATAGATGGTTCTCACAACCACCACTTTGATCTTCCATTACTCTCTTCTCGCTCAGCACTTACCGTGGTGACAATCAGATTACGTCACCAATTACCTCCATTTGTGCTAGGACGGATAGGATGTTGTTGTTATAATTACTTCGGTTGAACAACTACCACTTTGGTGAATGATAGAACACCACATCCATCAACAACATAATCAATACATGATCGAACAGTGATGCTGTTGATTAATCGTTCGCACAACTACCACTTTGAAGATTGGTCATCGACACGTTCAGTGAATGATTAAAATGTGATCTTGTATTTTGTCTCTTCGTTTTGTCTCATGTGTGAGCATTGTCGACATATGTTGAACACCTCCTTTTCAAGTCAGTCGACAGAAACATTATTTACAAATAACTCCATAAATATGATAGATGGAAACCTAAACTCATCGATTGTCTTTATAACATAAATGATTATGACAGAAGAAAATGCGATATCACAGACACAGAACAAACAGCATGACAAACGATCACTATAAAAGGTGATCATTTTGATCACAATCAACATCACAACAATCATCTTCTCAATAATCAACATAATGTCTTCTACTTCTTTTCCCAATGGAGAGACCATCTCTCGCTTCATCAATTCAGTGCAGCACTGTTGTGATGAAATCACCAAACCTGACTCCCTCTTTGTTGCTGACTCCAATTCCAACAAGGCCTTCTACTTAAGTCTCCTGAACCGCTGGCTCGCAAAGTTCTCCAAGCTGGTTCCCGCTGACGGCTATTGTAAGTGTTGTCCATGATGCTATCAATGTTGTGGATGTCTCTAACCTATCATTCCCATAGTTGAGGCAGATGCAGATGGTGCCGATGTTGTTGACTTGGAAGTCTATGTCCCTCCAACCCTTGTGAGGGCCAGGATCGAAACGGCCAAGATGGAGAGGAACAGGGCGGAGAGTGAGGTTGTGATCAACAACGCCTTCTTTGACTCAGTTGGCATGAAGAAGGTACCTGGCGTGGTATGTATCAAACCGACGATTCTTACTAAATATTACTAACATATCATTAGTGCTCCGGTTGCAATGAGGACTTTGGTCAAAACCCAAGGAAGAAGACTGAGTATCCTGGTGAGGACTTTCGTTTCCACAAGGCTTGCTACAAGGCTGCTAAGAAGGAAGCTCTGGACAGACATCTAACTAGCTTGGAGATGGCAGGGGAGATTGCAAAGGAGATGGCAAAAGAGATGGCCAATCGTCAACAACGAAGATCCAAGATTGCCAAAGTCATGGTCGATGAGGATGACAAGGGTGGACCCTCCAATATTGCCAAGATTGTCAGGGCCAAGCCTGTCGATGTCGAGGACGAGCCACCCGCCAAGCCCATCAAGATGGGTAGGGTCGTTGAGGAGCTTCCAGCCAAACCAGCCAAGGCCAAAGTAGTTGAGGAGGAGCCTCCAGCCAAACCTTCCAAGCCAGCCAAGGCCAAGGTCGTTGAGGAGGAGCCTGCCAAGGTTACCAAGACCAAGCACCAAGAGCCTCCTGCCTCTCCACCAGCATCCAAGGGCAAAGGCAAGAAGTAGTTGTCCATTCCGCTGTCTCCAGCCAAGTAGTGTTATCAATCAATCAATCAATCAATCAATCAATCAATCAATCAATCAATCAATCAATCAATAAATCAACCAATGTCGTAGTGCATCCCCCTCTTGTGTTGCCTCATCATATGCCGCGAGATCAACTTGCCACAGTACGCGCATGGTATCCTCTCTGTGTTGTAGGCCTTGATCTCCTCCTTGAACTCCTCGTAGTACTGTTGCATGTAAGACTTGTTGGTTTTGCCACTCCTGTCTATTGTAGTCTGTACGTCCATATTGATGGAAGTAGAGATTATAAAGCAAGTGGGATTATTCCTAGTATTACCCTGGTAATCTTTAATCACTGTCACTGTCTGATGTGTCCTCATCATCATCATTATCGTCGGAGTCGTCATCATCTTCGTCTATTTGCATTTGTGCCTGTTCCTCCTCTTGTAGTGCCAATGCCTGATCTACTGTCAACTCGGGATAGATGGAGTTCGTTGTCTCCAACCTGAGTACATGTACCTCTCTGGCGCAGTAGGGGATCCACCTTGTGTTCTCATGGTCTCGGAGTGCCAACGCATCGGCAATACATTGAATCCTAGTACATTGTCTAAAATAGACTGACTTCTGCATTCGTGCATATCCCATTGCTGTCAATTGGGGTCGTATTCGTTGAATAAAGTACCAGGCACGAGCGTTCCTATGACCAGCAGTGTTGAACTTGTCAGGATGGTTTGGTGGCAATCTGTTTGCTGGAGTTCCTTGTCCAGGTGGGGACATATAGCCGGTGAACTCATCCAGACGAGGACAACCAATATCGAATGATATACAATGAGTCAGTAACTCTGGGGCAGGGTGTTGATGAGCCATTCTCTTGATGGTGAATGAAGAGTGACAGATGAACTACTGGTGTGCAAGTTCAATGATCTTTAGTGTGTGCTTGGAGATTCAAATTAATAAAATTAAATGAGATTGACCGGTGAATTAAATTCCTTTGTCACACCCCAAACTTCATTCATCCTTCCACTGAATTATAACACCAACAAATACACATCAATGAGTTCACAAGACAAAGTACCAAGGAAAGTCTTCTCCTCGAAAGAGACGATTCTTGGTAGAGCGCGAACGAAGTACATGGATGCAATCGTCAAACTGGCCAAGGAATGTAAACAAGCTGACACTGAGTTGGAGAGTCTCTGCAACAAGGAGAAGAAGAACCCAATCGCACTGACAGTGAATGCTCACAGAGGAATGATCCGTTTGGACAATCGAACACCAGCAGAGATACAGGCTGTCAGTACCGCGAACAAACTCAAAGAACTGCTCTCTATGTCAGTAAAGGTCCAAAAGCGCTATGCTAAACATGGCGTCTCATTGATGGATATTCGAGAATGGTACTACCCCCACCTGGGATGAGTATACTCCCGACATTCAAGTGCCCTCAACAACTCGCGATATATATATTCTACTAAAGAGCAGGTGTCTACCAACAACTATTGTATTTAAACTCTCCAACAGTCTTGCGCATGTTAGTGACAATGGCATCGGGACAGAAGCCCTCATATTTGAGATCACCGCACTCCTCGCCAATCTTGGGATAATCAAGTGATTGCTTGCTTGTCTTCTCGGTCCAGGGCTTGGTCGAGACGAATCCATCAGTGTGCACACGTTTGATGTTGTCAATGTCGTCCTTTATTATCGTTCCAATCATCTTGCGACCACGAGAGATGATGAATGGCATGATGCGAGCGAATGGCGTGACGTACATCTTGTCGCTGGAGCCAAGCTTGATATTGACATTACCATTGCTCGCTGCTGTGACACTCAAGATCGTGTCGCAATCGCGAACATTGCATTCGAACGATCGGTGTGTCATCTTACCATTCTTGGTCTCCATCACTGTTGGCTCGGTGTTGACCACGACGTGCTTCTTGCGCGTTGTCTTCTTTGCCAGTGCTCCCCAGAGACGTTGATAAAGCTGCTTGCAGAGCCCTTCTAATCTAGATTTGGGTTCGCATGCGGCTTTCCATCCAAGGACCTGATTGATATATTCGCCAAACATGATCGAACCGGTGACCCTGCCAGTGGGATAGAGGAGAGCGTTGTTCTCGCTGTCATCGATCAAATTGAATGTCAGTCCTAGCTCCTGCGCGAAAGTGAGGTTGTAGTGAGTGTAGTAGTTGTGATAGTTGAGTTGGAACGCTCGATGAGAGCCATTGATGGTCGCCCTATAAATACCAAATGGGATGCATTTCACAAGCTCGGCATCAGTGAGTCGTTGGAACTTGCCTTTCTTGGTGGGCACGGCGAAGGTGCTGCTCTTCATGATTGCTGCATACATCGCCGAAACGTCATACTTGTACAACGGTCCTTCGTATGGTTCTGAGTATTGAAATGCTTTGCTCGACGCCTTGGCGATCCATTGCGCTTCATCGAGCTCGAGATGATCTGCTTCAACTGTTTGATTGTATTTGTAGAATAGGTCGAGGGCTGCGTTGTTAATATTGTGTCCTGTGAAATACATGTCGATGGCGCCGTTGGTATGTGCCTTGAGAGCATCTGCATCACTTACGAATTGATCGAGGGTCTGTTGCAGTGTCTGGTGGGGAGGGCTCCTGATGAATTGAGTCTTTGATCGATAATTATTTCTGTCCTCGTCGTAGAACTGTGATAGTGGCATCATGATTTGATCGACTCCATCCCAGAGCTCTGCCATGTCGCCCTTGAGTTTGAATGAGACTGGTTTGATGTAAACGTCTTTGTTGTGCTCGCCCTTGTAAATAATACGACATGGCAAGCGCGATGCTTTGATTAGAGAGTAATGGCCGTTGGTCAGTTTGAGATTGATCGATCTCACATGTGTCGCGGTTGAGTCGTATGAATACTCACCATTGACTTGAATGCGTATTCCAAGCTTGTCCTCGAGACGTGGGATCAACCTGTAGTGGACGGGATCATAGTCATCCAGGCCGAGAAACTTCTTGAGACGATATGGCTTACCGAAATGATCGATCAGTTCCTTTGGATATACCTCCTTGATGCAATCGTAGAGGCAGTGGTTGCGATTGTCGGTGCAACCGCCTCGTGGGTTTAGACTGTGAATGAATATGGAGAACTGGTTGAATATTGCAGGGTCTTCAATTATGTCAGACTCACCTGGCGCAGTTACCTTTGATCCATCATACAGATTGATCGGTTGACCTACTTTTGTGAATGTGCCTGATCGCTCTTGACCGTCTGCGTATTTGAGAACAACCTCTATCTCTGCATTGACACCACGATGTCTGAACATATTGTTGCTGTATTGTTGTGATATTCTCTGAGAGAACATCTGCTCTTGTGTATCTGCCATTGTAATTGATTTGATCAAAGTTGGCGATCCTGTTCAGTCTTCTAGTACCTTGCGAGTGTGTTCTTGTCATTCTATAATTATATTTAGAAAAATATATTTATATTACTTTCAATTATGTCTTTGTCTTCTTTGATCTACCTGTTCGTTTCTTTGCCATTTGGAAGTTGTCAAGGGGAATTTTGACATTTACGCAAAATTTATTATAGATCTGAAGTTCACCCTTTATGTATTTCTGGACTTCATCCAATTGTTCAACAGTTGACTTCTTGATGGTTACCGATGCTTTTAAATCAAGCTTAATGAGAGCATTAATGTATTCCTTGGTAGTGCTCTCTACATCATCATCAGTAAAAATTCCCTTGTGAGTAAATTTGGTCTCTCCAAAGTTAACGTGTTTGATTGATCGAGTCATTTATAAATTAACTCAAGAAATTAATTTATATGTTAATCGTTTATTTTAGCCATCAATTGTTTGTGGATATATCCCTTCCTATGGGTATTAATATTGTTTCGGCATAACTCAAAGCCACACTCGCATTGAACCTTCTCTCTTAGATAGGCCTTGTGGCGCTCTCTAAACTCTGGATTTGATTGATAATACTCTTTGAATGTCATCTTGACCTTTGGAGTTTCATTTTCGTTGTTTGTTCTTGCCATTCTTTCTAACTATACCAAACAAAATAATTCTTATATTACTTTCGTTTATTTCCAACCATCTGATTGACGATGAACTCACCACAACTCTGACGATGAAACTATCACTCTACTGCCAGTATTTGTTTCTACGATTGTGAACACTTGCGCCTTGAAGATGATTTGAATTGCGATTGGAAAATCTTGAGAGTTAGAGAGTTAATTAAGTTAAGAGATTTTTGATTGTATTTCTTTTGGAATATTATTTTTTTAAAGTCTTAAAAATCTCTTAACTTAATTAACTAATTAACTATTATTAATTAATAGTAAAATAAATATATAAAATTAAAGAGTCGGAATGGAGATGAAGAGCCGCAGGCTCGGAATCGATATGGAAGTTTGCCGCGAGGCAGCAATCACACACCCCGAGACAGAGTGGTTTTGGAAGGAGAGTGCCTATCAGTTTGTCCATTATGTGGTGGAGAACGGACATGCTCAATTCCTCAGATATCTTGTACAGCATCACACCGATAAGATTATGCTTACCCAAAGGACGCTACACACTGCACTGGTCAGCGGACATCTCAATGTGGTCAATGTTATTTTGGACGAGTTGACCGATATCCCAGCCCAAGAAGTACTTGTACACGATATCAACAGTAGATTGTCAACAGATGATGGGTTGCTCGCACGTCTTGCCAAACATCCCAAAGTCACTTTTATTTCCCATCATCTTTCCAACAAGAACAAGGACACTGTCAATCTCCCATTACCAAAGAATCGATCACTCCATAGCAAGTTACACTTGGCCATTCGCAACGATGATCTACACATTGCCAAGATGGTGCTCGATCATTGTAGCATCAATCAATTGGAGCTTGACATTGACATTGACGCATGGTGCAGGTTTATGTCAAAAGAGATGGGCTTGCTCATTGCAAACTCGAACAAGGGTCCGTTGCTTCTAACTCGAAACCAGCTCACTTGCCTCATCGAGTCCATTGGTCAATCAGATAGTCAAGTTACCGAAGAGATGGTGACACAGTTCATCATCCACAACATGATCAACACTTCAACGGAAGAGATAAACTCTCAGTGCCTAGAGATGGCCGCTGGAGTATCACACTCTTTGCTCACACTGGTTGTGGACACTTTTCATCCTACCTTGACCGAATACCCTGATGGCTGCTTGTCGCGGGCGATCAAGCGAGGATGTCTGGAGAACATCATCTTTCTCACCAAAAATATTTATCAAGGTTCTGACACGATTGGTCGACAGGCCCAATCTATGGAGACTGGCCCACTCGAATATGTAAAGGCAGTATACACCAATCTGCCTGTAAATGCTAAGCGTTTTCGGGTTGGTATGGAGGCTGCGATTGCCAACTCAAACGACGCAGTGTTTGAGTACATGTTTAACAACCGATCAACAGAGTTTGAGAGTGACAATCTTGGACTCACTGCTATTTCTGCAATTCGTTTGGACAAACCCAGAGTCCTACAGTTGCTGGTGAAACATATGAAATGGGAGATACACCTCAGTGATATTTTGATGGCGGCAGCGTACAATTCAGTGAGAGTATTAGAGTATCTCATTGTTACCAACACAGCCAACATGATCACCATTGCAAATCGACTACGCACTTTCAAGGAAGCAATCAACAATGGATATAAATTTGGAAATATACATATCATTCGATTGTGCAGTTCAATCATCAAAGACATCACTTTGAACAAGAAGAGGTAAGTGATGACAAATCAAACAAACAAACAAACAATCAATCAAACAATCACTGACCCAATCTATCAATCACACAGGAAACATCCAGAGGATGAGTCACAACCAGGGGAGCCAAACAAAAGGGAGGAGGCACCATCATCATCATCAAGGATGACATTGGCATTCCACATGGTGTTCAGAGACAGACGATTGGGCCGCATCATCATGAAAATGATTGGTGATATCTCCAGGACGTCGGATGTCAAGAGCATCAGTGGTAGAGCACTACTGGAGATTGATACATTGGATGAATACATCAAGTATGGCGCAACTGAATGGTTCATCAAGGCCTACAGCGCAGTCTCCAACTTATATCCATTCAACAATCATTTGCTTGAGACTGCCATCACCTATGCACGATCAAAAATAGTCGATGTACTATTCAACAACACCAACATGCACATTAATGATAGTGGCAGCAATATTTTATCTACTTTGTTACCCAACCTTATCAAGGAATCTCAACACTCATATCCTGATGGCTGGGACCATTCATGGGATGCACTAAAGTCAATAACCAATCAACCCAGGATCAAGATGTATAAGAATTGCAGACTTCTGAATGATGTCTGGCATCCTGGATTCCTACGCAAGCTACTGGACCTCATGGATGGAGTTGATCAAAGTAACACGGACCATTCATATATATGCAGTGAATATGTTGCCAAGAAGCATCCCAATGCATATGAGCTGATCAAGGTGTACAGAGAATATGGACTCCTCTCGATGGATCAGTTGAACTACATCCTCAGGCAATCCGTCTTGAGCAATCATACACAGTTGATCAACTACCTCATCGATGTCACCGATCAAACGGTGAGTCCCTCTAATGTATTGTGTCGACGAAAACATCAAGCTCCTCGACTGGATACTTGACCGACCAGAAATCAGGAGCGTGGATATGCTTCAAACAGTCTATCAAGCTTTCAACAATGCAGTGGAGAGAGGACAGCTACACACGGTGAGGAGAATCTACGAGTTTATATCCGTGCACCATGACAATGAATTTGATCTGTGCCTGTTCAAATCTATCGAACATCCATTGAGAGATGGTCATTTGGAGTTGGCACTCTTCATCCTTGACCTATCATATGTCGAGAAGGGCGAAGGAGAGATATGCGTTCGAGAGATCCATCAATCGATACTGTCAGTTGGCTTGTTGGAGAAGGTCATGTCACACACAGAGTTGGAGTGCACTTTCGATTATGTGTTGGCCAACGCGATACTCACTGGCAAGAAGGATGTGATCAACATGATGGAGAACAACAGGACTGGTGTGTTCAAGAACAACTATCAATATGCACTTGGTGCCGCAGCCACTGTTGGTGATGTGGTCAGTGCCACAATGATCATGGACAAGCACAATCATCATTGTTTACCAATCAAGTACTTGAGCAATGATGGACTACTTGATAAGAGTAGAGAAGATAGTGATAGTGACAATGATGATGATAACAATGAAGGTTTCATTGATGATTGGTCAAATATTCATCCAGATGTCGCTCATGTAATCGTTCAAAAGATTGGAATTGACTACTCAAGCCAACTCTGCAACATCATTAAGTCTCATACCAATCAACAGTTTGTTCGTGCAGCTGTCCTATTGTGGCTTCCAAATCGCGATAGCCTTAATAACATGACGCTGTTGGAGTGTGCCGCCAATCAATCATTTCAAACATTCAAGTTGGTTCATGAACTACTCGGCAACATTAGATTGACTCCTTATGAAGCCTTTTCGATCATCAAAGTATTGGGGAGCAAAACCAATGTTGAGACCATCAGGTACATTGTAGACCTTGCACAAGCCTCAAGATCAGAGATATCAGATCGTTTCTCTTCCCTCAAATATGGTTTAGAGGAGATCATCAACCAAGATCCAGAGGTATTCGCCCTGCTGTTTGACTGTGGCGCATTTCCTGAGCCAGAATCACACAATAGCGTGCTCAATTTGATTGACACGGCCTGTGCCACAGGAAACATGGACATGATTAGATGTATTGAACAAAGATACAACAACAACAACGACTTTACAAAGCGTAACTATCTGTTTGTTCCATCATTCTTCTCAATGGTTCTAGCAGCTAGAGGTAATCATCACCATGTTCTCAACTATCTCTTCTGCGATGAACAATCATCATACAGCCAAGTGATGATCAAACATCCCACTCACTTCATTCGAGTTCTCAAGAGAGTCCAACACGAAGCATTCACCAAAGGAAACATGAAAGTGATCCGAATGACTGCTAAACGAATCAATCAACTCCTATCCAATTCAAGAATATCCATCAAATAAATAGAACCCTACCCTTGCCCTTGCCCTTGCCCTTGCCCTCGCCTTAACCCTATAACCCTTACACAGAATCGTTTTGATACATTTCAATCAATCATCCACAATGATGTCAACAAATAACAACAACAATAACAAGTCAATCATAATACATTCTGTATTGATTGACTCTAAACTATGTACAAAGATACTCAATCATGTTAGTTTGATACATTTAGCTACTCAGAGATCAGCGATCAAAGGCAGAGTGTTGCTCAACAATGGCGATCTCATCCAGATGTTAAAACACAACGCAACTCAATACTTTATAGAGCATTACAACAGAGTATCAATGAACTATCCAGTCAACGACGTATTGTTGTTGTCCTCTATCCAATACAATAATGAAGTTGCATTCAAACATCTCATCAACAACACCAACATGTCATTGAGTCCAGTTGATGAGGACCAAAATCATCATCCATATATCTTTGGTCTAATCATCAGAACAGGCAGTATCCCAATGCTCGAGGCATTCATTCAGATGACTGGACATCGCACACTACCTAATATCTCTGAGTTGGCTTTGCTCGAGGCTATGGACAAAGGGGATGAACAGTTTGTCCGTCTGATCCTTCAATATACATCCTCAGTGGACATCGAGGAGTTTGATCCCCAGTACGACGTCGGAAAGGTAGAAGCAGATATGACCCGACCCGGCATCAGTGTCAACGTGCTCCGTGTCATTCACGAGGAGTACAACATCGATCACAAGTACATACAGGTGTGGAAGCAGGCTTTGAGATATTCAGTTAACCACAACATTGTGGAGAGTGTCCGCTACATCATTGAGCACGAGTCATTACGCAATGTGGTTGGAGGCACTTCCAAAATGCTCGTGTCTTGCTGCGAGTTGGGTCACCTCGAGTCACTCCAAACAATCATGGCACATATGCCGGTGCCAAAGAAGTTCTGGTCATATGGAAACCCAGCCAAGCTTGCTGCCGAGAATGGCCATGCAAACATCCTGCGATACTTGGCACAACATCACCTCGACGAAGTCAATATTAATAATGAATTGCTCAGTACTGCGCTTCTCAACGGACATCTCAATGTGGCCAATGTCATCTTGGACGAGTTGACCAATATCCCAATACAAGAGATCTCAGTCCTTGGTATCAATTGGCGACTGATCTCTGATCAACTCATCAATCGCCTGGCGAAACATCCTCGAGTCAATTTAGCCCATCAATCAGAATATCAGCCCGAGGCAAAGATGTCAGACTATGATTCAACACAGCACAGGTTCAGCTGGGCCATTCGCAACAATGATCTTCCGACTGCCAATGCGGTGATTGATCATTGCCGTCGCAATGAATTCAAGCTTGACAGTGACATTAGCTTTTGGTGCAAGTACATGTCACTGGAGATGGGCATGCTCATTGCTTCTTTGAGCAGTGATCTGTTCTACAAACTGAGACACGAGGAACTAGCTCGCATCATTGAGTCGATCGGCAAACCAGATAGCTGTCTGACTGAGCAGGTGGTGGATAAGCTTATTGCCAACAAGATGGTCCAGATGGAGTCAAACGATGAAGAGGAATCCTCTCGTATCCTTGATTTGGCTGCTGGTGTGTCCCTCTCATTGATGAAGCTCGTTAAGAGGTCATTGGAAACACCAAGATACAATGCAGGCTGTTTGTTACAAGCGATCAAACAAGGATGCAATGATAGCATTATTTACCTCGCAAAGGCAAAGGGCGTCAATCAAGGTCTCAACATCGTTCAAGACATCCTTAAGGGAATCGAGACATGCTCACTGGAGACAGCCAAAGCAATCATTACCCACTATCCTCTGAGTATTACAAAGTGCATCACATCATCGGTGTCCAACCCCAACCTTGCCGTGTTTGAATACCTGCTTGACTACAAATCAACCAACCATACAAGTCAACATCTTAAGGAGTTTGTCATACGGGCGATGCACAGGGACAAACCACAAATACTACGATTGTTAATGGAGAAGAAGGAGGTGGAGATATGTCTTGAGCATATCGAGGAAGCAGCCAAACATAACTCATTCAACATGTTGGAGTACCTACTTGTGACATGGACTGCATCACCATTCAGTGCCAACAGAATGACACCATCACATCGATTACGCACTGTGAACACAGCACTCAACCATGGATATATCAATGGATTCACAAGAGTCATTCATCTGTGCACCTCAATCATCAACGAGATAAATTCAAACAAGAAGAGGTATGTTATTGGAATATGGTCGTTTGATCGATTGATCACAATCACTCACCCACTCACTCAATCAATCAATCAAACAGAAAGCAACCAGATGATCATTCACAATCAGAGGAGGAGTTCAACAAGATGGAGGTCACGACACCATCATCATCACGGATGACATTGGCATTCCACATGGTGTTCAGAGACAGACGACTGGGCATGATCATCATGGGAATGATTAGTGAAATCTCCAAGACGGTGGGTATCAAAGATCAATGGCGCATCAGTGGTAGAGCACTGCTGGAGATTGATACTTTGAAAGAGTACATAAAGTTTGGCGCAACTGAATGGTTCATCAAGTCGTTCAACTCAATCTCCAGCATATATCCATTCAACACTCGATTACTTATGAGTGCAATCACACACGCACAATCATCAATCCTCAATGTCCTCCTCAACAACACCAACATGACAATGATTGATTACAAGGACAACACTCGATCCCTGCTCAGTACCCTCATCAGTACAGCACAACACTCACATCCTGCTAGTTGGGACCAATCATTTGACACACTCAGGTCAATCACATGTCGACAAAAGATCCCGCTCGTGGCGGACAACCTTCTAACTTTGATATCGAATCCTGCATTCCTCCTCAAGCTTCTCAGCTCCATCCAACTAATTGGCCACTCTATACGATCTTGTCCTCAATATGTAGATATGAAGGATCCTAATGCATTGGAGTTGACCAAGATATTCAGAGACCATGGTCTCTTGAATCATCACCAGCTGAGTATAGTACTCCAGAAAGCCGTCTTGCACAACAACACTCAGTTGATCGAATATCTCATCGATATCGAAGGACGGTATTCAGATGGTCTACTCGGTTATTGTGGCGATCACAACTTGAAGTTACTCGACTGGGTACTTGACAACCTAAGGACCAGGACTGAGGATGTACTTAATGGATACTACGACGTTGTGGAGAGAGGGCAATTACAAACGGCGAAGAGGATCTACGAGTTCACGGCCAAGCATATCGTTGAGGAAATCGACAAGATGGGTCTTTACAAAACTGCCGATGATCCATTGAGAGATGGTCATTTGGAGTTGGCATGCTACATCCTTGGACTACCATACGTAGAGAGGAGCGAAGAAGATAGAGAGGATGATGAGTTTTGTATACGGGAGGTCCATCAATCGATACTGTCAGTTGACTTGTTGGAGAAGGTCATGGCGCACCCAGAGTTGAGATGCACATTCGATTACGTGTTGGCAAGCGCGATACTCACTGGCAAGAAGGATGTGATCGACATGATGATGGCCAACAAGACAGGTGTGTTCCAGAACAACTATCATTATGCACTTGGTGCCGCTGCCACCGTTGGTAATGTGGACATTGCAACAATCATCATAGACAAGCACTATCATCATTGTTTCCCAATCCAGTACTTGAACAAAGATGGAAAGTTTGATAATTACGACAAGAACAGCGATGGTGATCGATACAGCAACGATGACACCAAAGAATCTATCAACAATTGGTCAAGAATACATCCTGATGTTGCTCAAGTGATCGTTCAACAGTTTGGAACATATAGGTTGCCTGTCAGCTATGATCGCCTGAAGCTTATCATTGGATCGCTTGGTGTCAAGAACAGTCAGACCACTCAAGAGTTTGTTCGTGCTGCTGTCAAAGGTTGGCTTGCCAATCGCCAAGAGAACAACTACAAAGATAACGTGGAGTTGTTGAAGTATGCCGCTCAGCAATCATTCCAAACATTCGAGATGGTGGACCAAGAACTGGAGCATGAACTATCTGCCAAAGGCGTGTGTGCAGTAATCAGAATATTCGAATCCAAGAACGATGTTGAGGCCATCCAGTACGTACTAGACTATGCCAATGATGAAAGAGGTAGGATGTTGGATATATTCCCATACATCAGAGATGATCCAAATTGGCTCAAGAGTCCAGATGTCCTGGCCATTCTGTTGGAGTATGATGCGATACCCGAGAATCGTTCACAGTCTACCATGGTTAAATTGATGGACGTTGCATGTGAGAATGGGCGTTTGGACATGATACAATATATCGACCAACGATTCAACAACAACAACATAATGGAGAAGAAAAGATATCTAATCGTCCCCTCTGTATACTCAATGATTGTGGCGGCAGGACTTAATCATCACCAGGTACTCAACTATCTCTTCTGTGATGAACATTCATCATATTGCAAAGTGATGATCAAACATCCAACTCACTTCATTCGAGTTCTCAAGAGAGTTCAATATCAAGCATTCATCAGAGGAAACATGAAAGTGATCCGAATGACTGCTGAGCGTATCAATCATCTCCTAAACATTACAATCTAATAAAACCCTTACCCTACCCTTACCCTACCCTTACCCTACCCTTACCCTTGTCCTAACCCTAACCAATAATGTAGCGAGGAATATATTTATTGTGCAGCTTGTACAGGCTTTGCTATTTGAAGTAGCTCCAGTTGGACTGTTTGGAAAAGGTCTTTCATCTCATCGGACATTTGAGGAGTGGCTTCGATGGAGCACTCAGCATATCCATGTATGGCGAACATCAATCGATATACATTGCTTAAATAGTAGTGAGTTATTGTTGGTGGTGCAGTTGACTTTGCCAATTCCACAAGGACAGGCGCAATAATATCGATCCATTGCTTGGACCTAGCCATGGCTTGTTCGCACGTCTCCATTACTTCAAAATTCTGTTTGTCGAATGGAATATTCACCTGTTGCGACTTCAAATAGGCATCAATCTCGCCCTTTGTGTCTAACTTGTGTATCCTTTCGACTCTTTCAATGCCCAGGAATCTAGCGATTGTCAAAAAGTAGATGACAAGCTCCGCCTTGCCTTGCTGTCGGAACATCTCCTCCTTTGCCGGCTGACCAAGAGCAAACACATCCTGGTAGACGTCAATGGCCTCCCTGAACCTGCTTAGCCAAGTCAGAATGACAAACTCGGGATGCTTGAATGGCTGGCGCTCAGCAGCCGTGGTGTACACCTTGTAGATGTCCTGGTAGAGGTAGTCCAACGCCTCTTGGAATATGGGCGGCCTGCGCCAGTTCCACATTGAGAGCAATTTCCTGTGCATGATGAATAGTGAAGTGTTCTTGTGGCACGTACTGGCTAGGAAGCTGGGCAACGTGATCATGTCGTCGTACCGTTTGAGATTGTGTAGCAGAGTCACAATCAGTCCCGCTGCGACTGACCTCAGTTCATTGACAATCTTGTCAAAGTCGTCTTCGCCTTGGAGAGCCGGCCTGGCAAAAGACATTGCGCTGCGTAGGTGGCGGATGGCATCCGTAGAGCGCTCTGGCACTGTCGAGTAGACCTTGCCCAGGAAAGTGTGTACCATCACGACAAGATAGTAGACGTTCACTTGGGCGAACTTGTTCTCGGACATCAATGACTTCAATGCAATGGCATTGGACTCGTTAACAAAGTCCAGTGTGATCAGGTACTCGGGTTGTTTCGTTGTGTTGGGGGTACCCTCCGGTTGTATACCGAGTGTACCTTGTGCGCCAGACTTGATTGAGAGATCGACCTCTTTGAGCGCGATGTGGATGTTGGTGATGAGATCGTAGGCCTGTTTGATTGGCATCGATGGGTTCTGGCTATTATTGCTCACAAACTCCTTTAGATCATCCAACAGATTCTTTATCTCTATGCTGAAGATTGCTTCCTGGATCATACGATTATGCACTGATGTTGATGCTGGAGACTCAAATCCGAGATCGTATATTGATTGATAGACCTCTTGTGCTCTCTTTCGATCACCGCGCAGTTCAATACATTGAGCCAAAGTGATACGTGCGTGAACAGAGTCGGGGTAGGCGGGCAGCACTCTGGTGGTGATGTGTTGCTCGGCTTCATCGAGCATGTTTGTTCCACGATAGACGATCGCCAGTGAATGAAGTGCCTCCTTGTGTGTAGGGTTGGTTGCCAACAATGTCAGCAATATATCGATGGACTGCTCGTTATGGTTCTGACTGACAATGATACATGCCAGCAGTACCTGGCCATACTCCCTCTCAGCCATATCCCTGTAGCGATCCAACTTGAGTGCCCTGTCCACAAAGTCCATGATATCTTTGTTGACTCTTCGGTGTGTGATTGTAATCAAGTATGCATGAACGAGGTAACCAATGCTGTACTCTGGGTTCGCATCGATCGCCTGCTTGGTCATCTTCAAACCAGACTCTGGAGTGAACTCATCGTCCCACCGCAAATAAGAGGTGAGCGTATTCAAGATATTGTCAATCGATGGCTGATGCCCTAGGGTGTCCCATTTCACCTTGGCAAATGGTGCCCAATGATCGAAGCGCTGCGCCAATGGATTGAACTTCTGATCGAGTAGACAGATGACCAGTGAGTTGTGGACCGACACGAAGGGGAATGGTGGAGCCTTTTGGTCATAGGGCACGGCGGTCGCCTTTCTCAGCAGGTCATACATGTATCGTACGTCAGCCAACGCGGACGATTGATTGACGGCAGTGTAGGCATCCAGTTGGACGAGCATCCATTCGCATCTCTGATTGACCATCTTTGCGTCACCGATGGGATCCGCACTCATTGGTGCCTGTCGCAAGATTTTGTTGGAGTGTCCACCAGGCAGCCATTCGACAAACTTCACAAAGTCCTTGTGATACAACTCGCCTGATTGCTTAATCATCAGTTTGATCAAAATTATATAGTTCAATACGAATAGAACATTCATGATATCAAAGTGTGACGTCCCCTTTTCAAGGTTCTCAAGGTATGCTCTGGCGTCATCAATTGTCATTGTCTCCATTGTGGCCACCAACTTGCCAAGTCTTGCCTTTGTAAATATTGGATCATCTTTCTAAATATCATGTCAATGTTTGATTGATTGATTGATTGTATGTGAGTGATTGAGTGATGGGAGTGATGGAGTGGCCACTCAAACATACCAACTTGTCAAACAATGTCTCATTTGATTCAATGTCTGAGATGAGGTCGTGCAACTCCTTGGAGCCGTGAGGGAATTTGTCGAGAAGGAGGGTTCGGAGTTGGACGCCAAAGTCACCCTCTGGGTTGATATGCATCAGGTCGAGCATTCTCTGTATACAGGTGTCTGGTGACAATATTTCATGGAGCATTATACGTCGAAGCAACGTCTGGTACAATATTTTGCTGTATTCACTCTGATCGTACTCCTCCATATTGGGATATGCATCCAGTATGATGTCATAGATGTCGGCGAGTAGCTGTGGTGTCTGCACATTCCTCTTCTCTAGATCATTGCTCAGACTGACGCACAGTGGCAAAGGGTCCCAGTCCTGATGGCGTTCCATGGCCGCCCTGATCGTCTCGATGCCCAGGGGTATGTTGCTGTCGTTGGTGAGATACAGGTCGATCAGGAAGTGGTAGTAGTGTATAGGTTGGTTTGGCTCGATGGCAAAGACTGACTCGAGTAGCTTGGTGGCCGCATCGTTCTGGCCCAGCATGCTGAGCGACTTGGCGATGCTGACCTGGACGTGCTGCAGGATGTCCTTGAACTTGGGGTCGTTGTCCGACTCTTGCGCAAACAACATGACGTAGGTGCGACAGTTGGTGAATGAGCTCAGGGCCTTGTCGGGCTGGCCCATCATGAGATAGGCGTGGCCCTGAACATTGTATGATTCAATGTGTGATGGCACCATTTGAATGATGCGTTGAGTGATTGACACAATCTCATCATACTGCTCGGCATGAGATGCCAACTCTGCCTGTTGTATCAATGACTCTAATTTCTCCATCTGTTGTTGTGTGAGTTGTACGTTGAGTGGATTGCCACCGCTAACACCGCTGCCACCATTGTTCCCTCCTCCTCCTATACCTCCAAAGTATCTTTTGGCTGTTGTTGTAGTAATACGTGTATTGTTTGAGCCAAATAGTACAGTAGTGGAGGATGATATGTTGTTGTTGTTGTTGTTGAGTTTGTTATTGCGACTCAATGATGATGCTGTTATGGATGTTGTTGAATGTGGAGTAGGAGGTGATAAATTGAAGAATCTACGTAGGCTGTCATGTGATGATGAATGTGATAATGCTGCTGTCGATGATGTCGATGATGTTGTTGTACAACCATGTATCAGCAGACTTGAGTGATGCTGTGATTGAGAGTGAAGCTGTCTCAAAGACTGTTTAAAAAGACTGATCAATCTATTCATTGTTTGTTTGTTTGATTGATTGATCGAATGATGTGTTAACTCTCTATTCAACCATCACCCCTTAAGTAAGTTGTCTATAATACAATGATCATAAACAATGTTAATAACTTAACTGTTGTTGTAAAGGTCATCATGACGTCGTAGTTCACAAAACAGAAATTAATTATATAAAAATATCTACTTGTGTGTGATTGTGAGGTCTAGGGTTGTCTGGAAGTCTCATCATAATAAATAAATTAATATTAAACATAATAATAATAATAATAATTTTAATATATAATTTATTGTTTAATTGAAAGGAAATCAATTGATTTGTTCAAACAAAGACAACAAAATATTATCTTTTATTGGGATTAAATGAAATTTCAAATTCAAATTTAAATATCAGGTGACCGTTTGAAAAAGATGGCGCGCAACAGTGTGTTTTTGTTGGGGTGATTGTGTCTTTCCAAATAATCATGTGACTGTCTGTATCTGTCTCTCAGTTAATAATTACATCCTTATAACACATTACAAGTAATAATAATAATAATAAACTATTATAACTTTACCAAAATAATAAAATGAGATTAGCTAAAGTTGATAATGTCAACAACATCACTCAACTAAAGTATGTGGACAATGATGACATGATGACACTCATTCATTCATACAATACTAACAATTTATTGTTTGTACATAATATATTATTAGGAAGCCATTGGTTTCATCATCGATGACTGCTTCAAAGTCTGCGACAACAACAACACAATCATCAACAGCTGTCAACAACAACAACAAGGTGCCAAAGAAGCCATCACCAATCAAGAATGCTGTTCGCAAGTCTACATCAAACAACAACAACATAGATACAACAACAATATTCTTTAAGGATATTGAGTCTCTAAAGAAGGATGGCAATGCTCAGAAGGGCAAGGAGGTCAAATCCCTCGCCTCCTACTACGAGAACCTCAACTCATCCTCAAACAAGATCGCCATCGCTAAGAAGAAGTCAATCATCCCCACCACCAAACCAACAACCACTACAACCTCAACAACAACCACGACCAAGTCCACTGCCACTGTTGTGCCAACAGCAACAACAAAGAAGATTGAGACGACTCAGCCAACACAAGTACAAACACAAACACAGAGGCCAGCAACTCCACAACCTCCCTCAAGATTGAACGAGAGCTCGGGAGTGCCAGAGGTCATAGAGGTGATGCGCGAGACTGTGGACATCTACCGCAACAAGATCGTGGAGCTGGAGAAGCGCTTGGAGGCTGAGGCCGCCGCCACGAGATCACTCAAGCAGGAGATGTTGTTGATGAATGAGCAGCACACGTACGAGGTGGAGCGCCTGCACCACGCCGTCGACATCAAGGACGACGAGATGGCCAAGCTGCGCGAGCAGATGGAGACCAACAACTACTCGATGCTGGACGTCGACCAGCTGACCGAGAACCTCGACGAGAAGAACGAGCGCACCCAGGAGCTGGAGCAAGAGCTGCTCGAGGCCGACGAGCTGTGCTACGAGCTGCGCAGGGAGAAGCAGAACAACCTCGAACTGATTGGTCAGTACAGAACTGAGTTGCTCGACTGCCAGACCCTGGTGGCCTACTACCAAGACGAGCTCGGAAAGAAGTCCGCCGAGAACAACGAGCTGCATCGCAAGACCCAGCAACAAGCCGAGGAGATCAAGGCCTACAAGCACAAGATTCAATCATTCCTCGAGTTGCTCGAGACTCAACAAGACCTTAAGCAGCAGCAGCAACAAGTGCAGCAAGTACAACAGGCCAAGACACCATCAAAGAAGGAGAACAGCTCAACACTGTCCAACAAGGTACATACACCAGTGTCTGCCACCAAGAAGAAGAAGTCAGCGTCATCATCGACATCTTTGTCTTCGTCCCAGCTCATTGGCAGCGGCTCCGTCAACAGCAGTTTGTCCTCATCAATGTCCGAGAGAAGTATTCACGTGTTCAAGTCTCCAATGTCAAGGGCCAAGACACCAAAGAAGGTGATCAGCTCACCAAGATCCATGGTTGACTACATCTAAGGACGTGTCGGCTGCCTTATGTATTATCCATCAAGTTAGGATTGGAAGGGAATATATAGTCTGTATTCTCAATCAATCATCCACGACCATCCATTCATTCAATCAATCAATCATTCAATCAATATGTATAACTTATTAAACAGATGTCTGTCCATCCAAGTCCATCCAACGTCCATTCTATTCTTTATGATCACCTTCGAGCATCGCACTTGTGAACTTGATGATGTTGTTTGATTCGTCGATCTCCTCTGTCTCTCCAAGCTATAGTAGTCGCGGAACAAGAATGTTAATGAATGATAGAATGAATGCTCTTCCACTTCACTTACTCTCTGTCCATTGACGCCCTCGGCGTATAGATAGTGTTTCTCGAGGTCTGGATGAATGAAGCCGGCCAGCTCTCTGACTTGTGTACCACGGGACACGAGCATGCAGTCTCGCAGGACAGAGCCGCCAGCTTTGTCACAAGACAGGGACTTGAGGTTCTTGACAGGGTACACGGGGAGGAAGCGCTTGAGCTCCACGGCAGTCTTGATCGCTTCTTGTATGCCTGTTGAACCATAACGGAATAGGACGAGGTCTCGCAGCTTGTCCAGACGAGACAGCAGCTTCTCGTCACATTGCTTGAGATTGGTGTTGGTGTCGTTTGTGGCAAAGTTGTCGTCGCCCTCACGATACTCGATGTAGCTCTGTGTGCGCATCTTGCGCAAGAAGATCTCGGCCAGAGCACTGGTTGGCACCATCTTCATGTCTGGATACTTCATGCATATCTTGTTGATGTTGGCGTCTGACGTTGACACGTCCACCTTGTTCAACACCAACACCATTGGGAATCTGACCTCCAAGAATGCGTCGACCAACTGATGAACAGTCTCCTGATCCCATGTATCCAGTTCAATAGGCTCACGTGCGCCCATCTTTGCCAGCGACTCTTGAACAAGCCTCAGTCTAGTACCATATCCACTCAACTTCTTATGTAATATTGTTTCAGCGAGTGACTCTACATGATTGATTGATTGATTGAGCGATTGAGTGAGTGAGCGAGTGAGCGAGTGTGATTGATCGCATTGACATACTTGTAGTCTTTTGCTTCCTGACAATGTTGGTCCATCTCTTCCAAAGGTTGTTGTAGATCCATGAGTGTATCTCATCTTTGAGCCATTGTACATCGTTGATTGGGTCGTAGCCTGTGGTCTCCTCACCCTTCTCATTGGTGTTGCCTGATACGTCGACAACATGTAGTAGTACATGTGCATGTCTGAGGTCGTCGAGGAATTGATTGCCTAGACCCTTGCCCTCAGATGCACCCGGTACCAGACCAGCCACGTCCAACATCTTTACAGGTATATATCTTGTTCCGTTCTGACAACGACCATAACGAGGCTGACACAGATTAGTCTTTTCATACTTTAGACAAGGACACTGTGTAGGATAGTACGTCACTCCATAGTTTGGCTCAATCGTTGTGAATGGGTAGTTGCCTGAGTTTGATTGATTGATTGATTGATTGATTGATCGTTCAAGTGAGTCAGTCAAGAGTGGTCCATCATCTGTCGCAGTTCTTTCAGATGTGTTGTTGTTCATGTCATACCAACTTTAGCATTTGAGTCTGTAGCTGCATTAAGGAATGAACTCTGTTGTATATGAGGGAGGGAGTGAGTGAAACAGTCAAACACCGTGTTGAACAAGATCATCATCATATGTGCACACCTAGATTACGAACCTTTCCTGCCGATGGTTTACCAACACAACCTATAACAAGCTCGGTGCTCATCTTATCTCTTTACTTTGTAGCGAAATGACTTGGAATTGTCAAAAGTCTTCTCTTTTTTCAAACCAAGACGGTGAGGGCAAGGGTAGGGTAGGGTAAGGGTAAGGGGGTTCGGATTGAGTTACCCGAAGAGTCATCTGATCTTTGCATCGATCGCTACAACAAAATGATCACTCAACCAAACATAACATATGAATAGCATCATGTAACCATGATCTCCATAAATGTCTGAAACTCAACTTATTCAACAAACAAAGTTTGGTAAACTTCAATGTAGTAGTCAATGATTTGTAACCTGATGCTGCTATGTTGTAGCCGATCAAACATGTTGTATCTATATATATATATATATATATATATAATGATATCATAGTTACTTCAAAGTATAATCAATATATACAGATACTACTACATCAATGAATAATAACATTATAATTTTGGCACTTCTTGTAGCTCTACTGTCTACAAGTAGCACAACAGAAGCAGCAGAGACACTCTACGGACTTCTCACCAAAGATGTGGTTGGTCAATTCAACTTTACTGAATTGATCTATACATTGGATCCTTCAAATGGTACTTACTTATTACTTAATGGATGTAGGGATGTTGTTGCTTACATATATATATACACCTGAACCAAAGGACAACAGGTCAACACATTGGTTCAGTTCCCTGAGGCATTGCCTCAGAAGGAAGGTGGTAGATTATGTACAGTTGACAACAAGAACAACATAATGTACTCTGTTTACTCTTCCAATGGTGGAGCTGTATCTCCTATTCTTGTAAGTATCAACGACACATAGTATGCATTCATCTCACTCTAACAACAACCAACCAACCAACAACATATATATTAGAAATCATACATCTATGCTATTGACTTGACAACACGGACTATCATTAGTCATTCTCAAATCAACAATGCTCCATCAAATGACTTGTTTGTCGAGTTGGACTTTAACAACAATACTGGCAACTTGAACTGTGTCATCTACAACGACCTGACTGGCCAAGCAATGACTGGTCACCTGACCCTTGACACCTTGGATATTGTTATCTATGAGGTAAGTAACATCATCATCATCAACAACAAGACACATTCATTTATACTGATCAATCAAACAACAGAAAGTACATGTAGGTAAGAATAACATACACTTTGTGGCCGCTGGTTACTATGCACCAGAGAACATCTACATGGTTTACTATCAAGATGACTCAGCAACCAACAAACAATATCCAATCAAGATGTATGATGCCACTTCTGGAAAGGTCGTCAGAACTGTGAAGATGGATGGTCGTATGTATCTCCATCAATCAATCATTGGGCATGTCCAATCACAAACAAACACTAACATACCTCATACGTACGTTTAGTGATAACTACCATGCAGTATATGCCATACTTTGAGGGAGCAATGGTACTTGGACACTCGGGTGAGATAAGAGTGATGGATGTGGCATCTGGCGCAGTAAAGACATTGGATTGGGCAGACAACAACACATACTATTACAGTAACCAAGCAGTTGGTGAGTCATCAGTCTACCTGTCAGCTGTGGTCGCCGGTGCCACACCATACTATGCACTGATCACCATTGACGTCACGACCAACCCACCAACCGTCCAACACAACGTCACCAATGCCAACGCCTTCTACGATCAACTGATCGTATCACTCAACTAAAATGGAAGATAGACTAGTCTGGTTTATTGCAATGTCTTGTATTGGTTCCTCTTGTATCTCTTGAAGATATAGATTGATATGCCGACGAGGAGGGCCGCGCCACCGATCGTTCCAATTACGATTCCAGCAATGACACCACCACTCTTTGGACAGGTATGATGGAAGTTGCCATGGATTGAGCACGACTCAAATCCATCTGGCTGTTTGCATGCCAACAGTTGAAGACCGTTATGATTGTTGATGTTGTTCAAAGTGATTGATCCAGTCTCACAAATAATGGCAGCGCCTTCCAATCCATTAACATTGCCAAACACAACGTTGGATAAAGTGCCAGAGGAGTTCAGGAACCTGATTTGAGTCAAAGCAGTGTTGTTGTTGATGGTGCAGTTGTTCACCAGGTATTTGGAGTTGAACAACGAGATCAGGGCGGTCTCTTGAGGGTAGTGATACATCTCGTTGTTGGTGAATGTTGATCTTGTGATGGACACATTGTTTGAATCGATCAAATTGATCAACACGGTATTGTTGATGTTGTTGATGAACTGGTTGTTGTCCACGGTAACAACGCCGCCATACATATAGACCCCATTGATTTGGTCAGTGCCAAGTCCAGAGTTACCAATGAACGAGTTGTTGATCAATGAGACGGGTGCGTTGGGAATGAGTGTGGTGACGTACATCACAAGTTCAGTGATCGTGTTGTCTTGGAATGTGGTGTCGACGACGGTTACATTGTCTGAGATGGCAAATAAAAGTACACTGGCGGTGTTCATAATGAACTCAAAGTTGTTCATGTAGAGAGTAGAGTTGGCGTTGAACAGGACGTTGTAATATGGAGATGATCCACAATTGATCATACGTCCACCGTTGATTGTGAGTGTTGGACGTATTTGACCAGTGGGGCAGGCATTTTCATACGGTTGGACATCGACTATAAAGTTGTCGACCTGTTCCTGACCCACACCAGTGAATGTCACATCATTCAGGTAGATGTTTATATTGTTACTCCAGGAGCTGAAGGCCATTGTTCCATTTGCCAATGTTAGACTGTTGAGTGTGATAGTGGACTGATTGGTACAGGCCTCCAAATCCCATAGAATAAAGAATACCTCTCCATCGTTATTAGGGTTGGGGTTGCTTAAATTGATGATCACTTCTCCTTGGGTGTTGTATGGTGATGGTCCAAATGTAATATTAATGTTGTCGAATAAAAAGTTGCCATTGCCTTCGATGGAGTTATACACTCCGCCAGCCATTGCAATGTTAAGGGAAGAGGGGGATGATGGTGGTTGGAGAGATTGGTAACTATTGATTGCGGCCGAGATGTTTGGACAGGCATAGTTTGAAGCATAGTCAAGGCCACAAATGGCTGAAATGTTGGTTGATGTCAAATCGACATAGAGTGTGATTGTTGTAACATCTTGGCAATTCACAACCACAAAGTAATTGGAAGTAAAGACAACAATTATAAATAAATATAAAGTTTTTAAATAATGATTATTCATTCTTATTATTATTATTATTATTATTAATTAGTTATTATTAATGTATAAATAATGGTCTTTCATATTCTTTTGGATTCTATTTATATTTATTGATTGATTGATTCTATCTTTGTTGTCGTATTTTTTACCCCCACAACCATTCGTCCTACGTCATCATACAGATACACATACACAAACACCCCATTGATGAGGCCTTAACTACATGAATTGGGTCCACCCACTTTTGTGATTTGATTGGTTCCCTCGTTTGCACTTTGAAACCCACACCATCTTAACAACACACAATTAGTCAAAAGATACTTTCATTGATCCTTAAGATGACCCATTAGGTCTAATCCCATTGGTGGTGTTTCAAAATGAAATATCCCATCATTCATAACAGACCAGATATTATTAGTAAAATCTTAAATTGGATTATTGGTGTCGTCGACTGGACCAGGGATATTGGCAGGTTTCCTTTGTTTAACAATGGGGAGACACTAACATTGATGATGCAAAGTTCAAACATTGTCCAAGAACGAATATGCGTTCAGAGTGGTTTAGAAATTGTTGACTTTGTTCCTCACCTTGGAGAGGTTTGCCCATTGTTGGTGTAGAATGTCTTTCCACCATCATTCATTAGAGTGTGGGTGTGGTTGATGGGTCCTAAAGAATGAAGGAACCAACCCTCTGCTGTTACAGAATGATCAATGTTGGGCTCACAGATACCTGGTTGCATGATTGATTGATTGAGTGTTGACTATTCTTTGATTTTTGACATTCATTCAAAGAAACTCAGGGAACGACATTCACTCACTCAATTGATTATTACTCTGAAGAGGATTGGAGTTTATTGAATTGCCTTGTATTGGTTCCTCTTTTTGTACTTCTTGACAAGCAAGATTGTGATTATGATGATTGCCAATAGACCACAGACTGATCCAACAACAATTCCAATGAGCTCACCTTCCTTCATTGGACAGCTGAGATGGAAGTTACCTTGAATGTTGCACTTTTCAAACATTGATTGATGACATCCAAACAGGTTACGACCGAGATGATTGTCAATGTCATTCACAGTTAGTGCATATCCACCTTGACATTCAATGGCCGAGCCCTCAAGTCCGTCGACATTGCCAAACACAACATTGGACAGTGTGCCATGGGACCAGATCAGCACCAGTTCAGTAGATGCAGTGTTGTCCTTGAATGTAGTGTTGTCAATCACAAAGGTGGCATCGATTGAGATCAACACGGTCTCGTAGGGGTCGTTGATCAAAGAGTTGTTGGCGAATGTTGATCCGGTGATGGACAGGTTCCTCGAGTCCACACTGATCAAGAATGAATAGTTGTTGTTGTTGATGAACATAGAGTTGTTGATGGTGAAGTTGCCCGACATGATGTAGACCAATGATAGATATTCATTTCCAAAGGTCCAAACTCCATGGTTGTCAATGAAGGTGCTGTTGTCCACTGCGATCAAGGATGTGCCATTCAGGGCGCAGATCCACAACAACTGACGAGTTATTGAGTTGTTTTGGAATGTTGATCCCTCAATTGACACATGACCAGAGAAGGTACTGATCAAGGTGTTGGCAGTGTTGTTGTAGAATCCATAGTTGGATATGGTGAGTGATGAGGACTCAACATTGATGAGGTCGACGTCTGAGTTTGGCAATCCAGAGTTGAATATTCCTCCACCTTGGATGGTGAGTGTTGGCAAAGGTTGGCCAAGGTAGCATGGTTTGTATGGTGGTGCGAGGTAGATCACATAGTTGAACTGTGATGATGTAACCATGTTGGTGATGGTCACATTGTTGAGGATGATGTTGACGTTGTTGTTCATTGAGTTGATGCCCTTGGTACCATTGGTCAATGTGAGATTGTTCAGGGTGATGTTGGTCTGTGGCGTGCACACACTGGCAGACACCATGTAGATGAAGAAGCCATCGCTGTACTTGTTGGTGGGCGGGTGGTAGAGGTCGATGATCACCTCACCCTGCGTATTGTATGGCGATGGTCCGATGGTCACATTGAGGTAGTTGACATTGAGTCCCGAGTTGCCGTCCAGACCACAGTACTGTCCACCAGCCAAAGCAATGTTGAGAATAGTGTTGGTCAGTGGTTGATTTGGAAGTGATCGGTAACTGTTGATGGCGGCCGAGATGTTGGGGCAGGCAGAGTTGGTATCATAGTCAAAGCCACATAGTGTTGAAATGTTCAAGGATGCCAAATCAACGTAGATTGTAATTGTAGTAATATTTTGGCCATTCACAACCATAAAGTTGGAATTAAATCCAATAATTAAAATAACAAATAAAGATAATAGATATTGATTATTCATTGTTTGGAAATTATTATAATAATTATTATAATTGTAAATATTATTTGTATAATAATAATAGTTTGTGGTAAGGATATGTTCAACGAAGATTCTATTTAAATATTGATTGATTGATCCTGAACTTTGTGTGCGTGAATGAGTGATTGATCATTGTTATCGTCTTTTTTGCCCTTATCCCCCAATCGACGTCATCCTTCCCCCACACACACACATCACCTCACCTTACCTCCCCATGATGGAGGCCTCGACGTCATGCTTTGGGTCAACCCAATTGTGGAAGTTAATTGGTTCCCACCATTTTAGGATGCAAATCCCATTCGCCCATCCATCTTTATCTTGAAACTTCATTCGCGTGCAAAGATCATATTGTTCTAGATTTTTATAGGTCCATCACTCAATAATATCTTTGCAGGGCAATGGTCTTACCCTTAACGCGAGTGATCGTGAGTTAATGGGCGTGATCATGTGGGAGCATACCCTTGAATGACATTCGTAACCTACCTGTCTTGTCTGGTTGTCTGATTCGTTGACATTCAGAACTTGTTCTAATTGGTTCCAGAGGTGCTCGAATGAAGTGATTAAGTGAGTTGGACAGTTGTTTGATGATCATCATTCACCAATCATTGTTGTTGTCTAATACACTCATACACACAAACATCTGTTTGTACATTCATTCTTGGCCTGGTTGTCATCAACTTATGTATCATTGTTGATTGAGATAGTTAATGTCGCTGCTTCTGATTACTAGACTAGTCTTTCTTTATCAGAGTGAATATATATCAAGTATGTAATACGATTATTATTATTATCTGTATACAGATACACTACATCTTGTTGTTGAACTTGTACAAATAACCAAAATGGTGTGTTTGTCATCAATCAAGGGTAGACAACTACTTGATAAAGGTCACTCAATACTTTATAGAGGAGTATGATCACATGGGTCACCAACCGAATCAATCACCTCATACTTGGAGTTCTTTCAAATAAAGTTGGTTGTTTGTTTGGCGCCTTAATTCGTGATTCAAAGTATTGTTTAGACTAGATCTAGATCTCATAATAGTCAATCAGATATTGACACAATGAATAATAATAAGATAGTTATACATAGAGTGTTAGGGGATACAACTTTGTGTCAGTTGATATTCAAACATGTCACGGTTATACATAAGTTGGATGATCACACCAAGTCAGTGGTCAAGGGTAAACAACTACTCATCAATGGTGACCTCATTCAATTGTTAAAGTATAATGCAACACAATACTTTATAACATTGTTCAACAAATATTATAATAACAACAACATTAATAATATTAACTTGATATCAGACTTGTTAATACAATCATCAATACAATACAACAACAATACAATACTGTGATAGCACTCAACTTGTTAATGAACAACACCAATATGACATTGAACTCAACAACAACAAGTAACAATAAGTGTATAGATTATATAATCAAACATGGCAACATTATATTACTTGAATCATACCTTGCGATGACAGCCCACCGACCAATAATGTTCATCAATGCACGCCAGCTGCTGACAGCCTGCAATCACGGCAACGTGTCATTCACTCAATTGTTACTCCAATACTCCAGCGTTACAGATTGTGATATTGGAGAAGCAAACCAAGAGGCGGAGGAGTGTGCCAGAACCAGTTCCCCTGCCTGTATAAGCCTAGACATGGTCAACATCATCAAGCAGAGTGTTGAGCGAGACATGCCCAGTAATGATCATTACACACAACACTTGCTGAAAGTGTTGTTAAGACGATCAGTGCAATATAATATGCTCGATAGTATGAAGGTCATCCTCAAGATTAGTAGCTCAACACTCGATTCAGACGATTCAGACGATTCAGACGATGTCTTGGAGTACTATGGCAGATGGGGTCGCACCGAACTACTCGATGCACTATCCAAGTATTTCAATTATCGTCTCTACTCTCGTCTACCACTGGCCGTGCGACAGGCTGCCGTCAATGGACATGGTCACTTTCTCAAGCACGTGCACTCACACGAGATGGTGTCCTCGGCCAACAACAGATCATTCTTTTTTGGACACAACCTACTTGGTGATGCATTGGCCAATGGACATACACATCTCATATCGCTCATACTTGATGAGCTCACCCAGATCACAGTCCAGACGATACCCAGGTGGATGGCCGAGTTGCATGGGATTGGCCCACATCCACAGATGACCAATAGGAAAGTGGACTTGGACTTGGAATTGGAGCGTCAATGGCTCAGGACCATGCTCATCAGAGCAATCTCAAGCGATGATCTGGTCACTGCCGGCACCGTCCTTGCTCATTGCAAAGGGTTGACGTTTGACAACGATCACACAATACCTTGGACACGCATGTCTCTGTCGATGGCAACACTCATCTCTGGTCAGAAAAATAAGCCATTACAACTGGACGGTAATAGCCTATATCACATGGTCAAGGCCGTTGGTGATAATAGCTGCCCTTTGACTGTGGACGTGGCATGTAATCTTATCAAAAGCTTGAAGCCCTTCAAAAGGGCCGCAACTATTTCTGATCTCGAATCAAAGGACAATCCACTGGTTGAGGCAGCTGGATTCTCTCTCCCACTCATGGATTTAATCAACAACACATTCAAGTATCAGTACTTCACTGGGTGTCTGGTCAACGCGCTCCAGCATGACTGTCTTGAGACAATCAATTATACTCGCAGATTTGTCAACAGTTCATCATCCCAGTATTATCTCGAGGTCGTGGAATGCTTTGCCAAGAGCTCGCTCGAGTCGATCAAACTAGTGTGTGGCATCGAGATAAAGAATGTGGAACCTCTATGTATTGCAGCAGTTAGGAACACACAGCAGGTGTTTGATTATATGTACAAGAAGTACTCTTCGCAATTGAGCACCGATTCAATACAGAGTATCATTGATGCGGCTTGCCAACATGACAAACTGTACATCCTCAAGAAATTGTGTACAAAGCACAAGATGATGCCTAGCCTCCATGTACTTCAGACATTGGAACCCACAGCCCTTCAATCAATCAAGGTATGTAATAGTGAATTGAGGGTGTCGATATGATTGACCAAGTTTTAACATTCAATCAATCAGTACATCATAACACACTTGATCCCATCATCCTCACACCGTCAAAGATTGATCAATGAGATATACTCAACAGCATACCGATATGGTCGCACTGGGGTCATGATGATGTGTATCAATCTTACCAAGACATGTCCAAGTCCTCTTCCAGCATTGGTGTCATCACACACTCAATCACCAGCAGCAGCGGTTCCAAGCACTAGCCAAACAATGGACGTTGCGTTCCATCTTGTATTCAGAAACAGGTTGTTGGCCAACAAGGTCTTTCACGATGTAGGTGACATACTCAAGCGTTTGAATGTTGGAGGTGGCATGGTGATCAAGGGTGGACAGTTGTTGTCCAACGGATCACTTGTCGAGTACATTCGATTTGGAGCAACCGAGTGGTCCATCAAAGGTTACTCTGAGGTCACAACTGGCAACCTTCCAACACCCTTTAACAACAAACTAATCAATATGGCAATCAGCAAGTGTGACACTCGTGCACTTGAGTACCTGATCAAGAACAACAATATGATGTTGAGCAACAATCACACTGATTTGGAGCACATGATACGATCATTGTCTTCCTGCCAATCACCAGTCTGGGAGCAGATGTTGGATCAGTACATCAACTTGTCGTACGATCAATGTCTGACCATCAATGGCAATCTACTACATCTGATACAGCACCCATCATTCTTGCGCAAGTTGTTCACACGCAATATAATCATTAGGTCCCCGAGCTTAAATGACTTTCAATCGGTTGCGGGTCAGTGGCTCGCTAGCAATCCATTCATTCTTGATATCATTAAGATGCTACACACATGCCACCAGAGCGACCCTATCCTCACATACATGCACTGGGACACCATAATGCGACAAGCCATCACTGTCAACCAGCTCCAGGTTGTTCAATACCTTGCTAGTAACGTCGAATACATCATAGATGAGCTGGCAATAGAAATGGACTTTGAGGCAGAGGCATTGGATTCAACAAAGGGTGAATATCTCTCGCTCTGTGGCGCAGCTGGCCATGAGGACATGGTTGATTTGGTATTCTCAATCATACCTCCATTCAGTGTTTCAGATAACTTTATATCAATTATCTATGGGACTGAGGCCATAAGAGGTAATCTCAGTATGGTCAAGCGAGCATATGAACTGATCATCAATCATCCAATGGAAATCGAGTATATTTCCTGTATAGAGTTGGACGACGTTCTAGCTGCAGGACATTTGGATGTGGCGACTTTCATGTTGGACACACATCCTCGATCTTCTCCTTACTACAACGAGATCGTTGTTACAGATATCCATCAGAGCATCATTTCAATTGGATTGATCGAGCGGTTGCTCTCTTGCGAGGACATTACTTGTTCATTCAATAGAGTAATGGCCAGAGCAATCTTGGCAAATCACTGGTGGAGAGTGGATCCCGAGGTTGGCAAGTTGATCGCTCAGTACATGCACACCAACTCTTTGGATATTGACATTGATGATGTTTGTTGCATTCTCCTTGCCATTGGACTGCCTCAAAGCAAGGTGACTTTTGCCATGTTTGAAGACTTTGTGAACATGTTAGTGGACGATGATAGCTTACAGGAGGACCGAGAAATCATTGGTGCTACACTCATGAAGGTGGCTGCAGGCAAATCGATGGAAGCAGTCAGGTGGTGTATGATTTGTTCCAATCAGTGGATTACCCTGACATATGTTATTGGAAAGCAATTAGAGTGGCATCCAAGCGTGGAGACGTACAGTCGACAAAGTTCCTAGTTAAAAAGACTTTGTATCGTTTTGACTCGTCGTACCGCATGCGATGGAAAGGACCAATTATGAATGTGGAGGTACTTGACTATCTTTGCGACCGTGGATATATTGGCACCTTTGAACACGATGGCCAATATCTAATGGAGTTGATGGAGGTGGCCTGCTCAAAAGGACATGTTGAGACGATGCGATTCCTACAAACGATGATCAATGACGATGAACAGGGATGGATCTGGCATTCTCAAAAGCAATTGGTTCCATCTTTGGACAGTATTGACCAGGCAGTCTTGAACAACCATTATAATGTTCTTCATTATCTCTTTGGCGACCCTCAGTCATTGCTCAGGACACATATGGACCCATCACATCTTGTTCGTATACTCAAACAACTCAGACTAAAGGCATGGTACAATGGATGCAACCATCATATTATTAAGTTGTGTGACAATGTAATAAAGCAGTACTGATATGACATATATCTTTATTTGTTGAACTCTCCCTCCAATTGATTGATTCTGCTTGTGCACCATCTGATGACCTTCATATGACCAAACTTGAATGCCTTGAATCGTAGTAGCTTCAGCAACCGAATGATGTGTTGAGGATGCTGTGCCATTGCTCTCCAAACTGATGATTGGCTCTCCTCACCAAACAGGAATGAAATAACCTGGTAATGATTGTCCATTGCTGCCGATGTTATTGCTCGAAGTGATGGCACGTACTGTGGTATATTGCCTGCCAATGGATTGTTGTACAAATGATCGATACTTTGAATCGGTTTTATCTGCCCGCCATTGCATGCCTCGTTCATGAAGCCTAGTATCTGAGATTCCCAATCGGTTTTGGTCTTGCTTATGATACCATTGTCTAAAAGGACCTTCAGCGACTCAACGTTTGAGGGAATGATCTCATCTCTGTCAACTTTTGGTCGAGTTGTAAGAGGTGCTGCTCTGGCCACATCAATTATGAATTGGATTGATTGGGCATCACCTCGTTTGGCACATTGAGGGAGGGCTTCGATAAAGTGGGCTCTTTGGATGGGCTTGGTGAAGACACTGTGCACCAGTTTGATCAATGAGTGTGAATGGTAAGCTGCACACTGGACAATGTTGATCATGTCGGACTTTTTCTTGGCCTGAGGTCTGAATGATATCCATTTGCATATGATTGTATGTACAACTTCCTCGGTCATCTTACTCTGAGGATGGGAGACAGATCCAATGATTTGATACATGTGAGATATGCCAATCATTAACTTTCCACCGCGTTCAATTTGGTTGGCGATCAACATGCCAACAGCAGGGTCAATGCGTGCCCAATTGGGGATACCAAGATTCATTGCTTTGATGAAATCATTGTCGTCTTCATCGAAATGGGAGTCGGACAATGCAGGAAGAGCTTTCGGACGCTCTTCATCATCTTCCAACACAATTATAGATACATGCAGAGGGGGCAAGCAATCATGATAATGATTGGCCAATATAGTCTTGGCTGTGGCTACGTCACCAATTGATGATGCAGCACCAAGGGCATAGCGATAGTCTGTTTGGAATTGGTCAAAGTTGTGTTCCAAATAGTTGATGATGTCCTGGTCACGCTTGAGTATGGCACGCGCCATGACATAGCAGAATGAAGTGTTCACACTGGGGCGTAACATCAGACGCTTCAACAAGTCAAGAGAGAGGATACTCTCGTTGATGTCCATGATATCCACTTGCTTGCTCACCCTATCATCGCTATCTTCACTATCACTATCATAATAATCATCGTCCTCATCACTCTCGGGTTCATCTTCAATGGGCAATGCAAGCAAGAAGTTGACGCTATCCATATCTCCAACGAGTAGTGGCTGTGCCATCAAAAATAGTGGTCGATAAGTTTGATGGAGGACTACACCTTCGCTAGAAGTGATGATCTCATGTATCCTTTTGACCATGCCAATATGTCCATGTTTGAGTGCAGTTTGGAATGTTGCCACCAGTGCTATAAGGAGAACCTCGTCCATTTTTGGAGTGCCTCGAATAAACCTCTCAAATGTCTCCATATCTCCATCACTGCCACTTTGATAGAATAGACTAATTGCTAGCGTTTGAAAGTGGTCATTCTTTGGCTTAAGATTGTTGAGTTTAGTGTGCAGCAATCGATTCATTGGAGAGGATGACAGGTCGGTGTATCTCTTGAGTTGCGCCATGTCTACTGCTTTAGGGTTGACAATGGTTTGACTGAAGAACACCTTGACAATGTGATCGTTGATCGGCAGCGTGGTGTCACTGATGTTGAGCATCTTGCTGAGGAGTGCTGGATGTTGGATCTTGGATATGAGCTCCTCATCAATCGGTAACATGCATCGACTGGTGTTTACCATGAGCAGATCGATGCACTGCTCCCAGCCAGGTCGTTTGCACCGTGCATTCTGCTCGATGAAGGCCTCCAACACAGTCTCATGTGATTGATCATCGTCGGCAAATGTCATGTTGGTGTTGGCCAGGAGAGTGTTGAGGATGTCCGACTCTGCATATATGAATGCATACATTGGCAAACGACTGCTCATCGGATAGATATTGGCAACAGAGTTGTATCCCTTGAGGAACCAATCATTGGCACCATACTTGATGTAGTCGAGAAGTGTGTCACTCTCAACTAGTTGCTTGCCCTTGATTAGTTTTTCATCCTTGACTCCAAGTGTTGTCCTGTATATACTACCAATCATTCTCATGATAATTATCCCAACTCGTCTGTCACAGAATACTTGATGGAATGCCGTTGACATGCGTGATGATGTTGGAGATGGCTCAGCCATGATCACATCTTGATGCAGTGAACTATACCATGTGATTGATTGGATGTTAGTATCTCTATTTATCAATGTATCAAAGTTTCAAACATACATCTTATCATCAACTTTGATATCTTTGATGATTGAGTTGCACATGTGAATGATCCGTGTGTGTCCCAAGAAGTAGCCAAGGTTGAGTATTGATTGGAAAGTGCGTAGACGTAGTTTGGGTGCTTGGTTGTTGAATGGTGACTCTAGCCAGGTAAACAAGAGGAACTCCAGTACTTTGTACGAGTTGGAAGATGCCGCCAAGTGAATATGTTGAAGACTGAGCTTGATACTTGACTGTTTGATTATTGCAAACACCTCTGGTTTGTCCTTCAAACAAGCGTCATCCAAGAAACTGTCCAAGTGCTTGCCGAACTTGTTAAAGACATACTCAAACACCTCTATTGTGTTGTCCATTGCATTTACACAATGAGCTTTAGTAATGTGATCGTCTATAACACACTCGATCAGAGCTTTTATCGTGGCCAGTGAGCCCGTGGACAAGGTCAACTTGATCAACTCCATGTTGTTGTTAAGGTATCTATGTCTTGCAAAGTGGGCGTGGTCACACAGTGATCTGATATTCTCTGCACATCCACAACTGATTGCCGCTGTCAGGTACTGAGGCAGATTACGACCATCGATGCCCACCTTTAGCATCTCTCGCATTGACTTTAGGAATGATGCAGAGTTGACTCCAGCTGCCATTGTCAACAGTGGTGTCTTGAAATCGCGAAGCGACTGGACATAGTGGGGATCGCACGAGAATATATACATCTTGACAAACTGCAACGCCATTGCCTCGGTTACCTGGCAGCCTGGCCGTCCGATAGCCTTGAGAGTGTGGTAGATGTCTTTGTGGCTAATGGATAGTGTCTGGTGCGTCTGATTGGCAAAGAGAGTGCACATTGCCTGTGACATTATCGTCCACAATGCTTTGTAGCCGTTAAAACCATCACTCAACGACTCTAAGGAAACACTTTGTTTTGATTGTTCAAGTGCCAGTCGAGCTGATTGTACGTCGTCTTGTTTGATTGCAGTGAGCAACTCATTAATGAGTCTACGTCTCTCCTGATTGGCCTGGACCCATGATTGATTGAATGTATAGTTGATGTTTGAATGAGCACCAAGTCGTTGTAACAATGTCTCTGATGATGACAGGCTCTCATGGATCTTTTTCTCATAGATACTTTGCATGGGTAGATTGACCAACTCATCATTCAGGAAAAGCTCGACCACGTTGACATGGCCATTGATCAATGCATCCATGCATATCGTGCTCTGGTCCGAGATGTAGCCAGCATAGCCTTGATCGTAGATTGATTTGATGAAGTTGGCATGTCCTCTGGTCACGGCAGGCCCAAGATTGATAATGACTTTGGCCTCATGCCCATCATCCGCTGCCTTCTCCAGATAATGAACCAACACTTTGAGTATCTCAAAGTGGCCAAAATTGCAGCACTTTTCAATGTAGTCGTCCTGGACCAACTCAATCACTTCATCCATGGGCAGTATTGTTGGGATGTGATCTAGAAGGTACTGTACACTCTCCAACATGTTGTTGCGTACACTATGTAGTGTAATCTCCTTCCATATGTATTCCTGTTGTAGTATGTTGTTGTTGATGTTGTTGAGGAGATGGAGCATGCTGATGTTGACACCGGGCAAAGTCAGATACTTGTCATCATGATCATCATCTTGATCATCGTCATTCTCGATAATGGCATATTGCAATAGCAATTGAACAAATTGTTCATTGTTATGATTGATGGCCATGAGTATGTGATCGTGTGTGATTGGAGACAACTTGCAATGGGCGGTAATATCTAGGTAGGTCTGAAGCATGTGCACACTGCCATTCCTGATCAAACTAGTGATCATCGAGTTGTACAACTTATCATCCGAGTGCTCTGTCGGTAGTGACATGTTGGTGTTGCGCAGTAGATGATCAAACACGCGTACATTGTTGAAGGTGATTGCTTTCTCGAGCAGTATGTCGTTTGGAGGGTACGTCGATGCAACACGATCATACTCCTCGATAAAGTATTGAGTGGCATTATACCTTAGCATCAGTTTGAGATCACCCCTGTCGAGTAACTGTTTGCCCTTGATCACTGACTTGATCAATGTCGTTGTTGTTGTCGTTGATGTGTCTTTGCCGCACCTGTCTGACTTGATGATCTTCTGATGAATGATATTAACATGTTTGAATATCAACTGACACAATGATGTGTCTATCAATACTTTATGTATAACTATCTTACTATTCATTGTTTGAGTGAGTGAGTGAGAGTGAATGAATGAACGAATGAATGAATGAGGATTGAACATGACTGACAGTCAAAAATATCTAGATTTTTTTGGGGGGTAACGTTTGGAATGATTCCAATCACTTTTTGTTGTTATATATTTATTTGTTGATTGAACGAAGTTTGAGTTGATTGATTCGGTTGGTGATCCATTTGATCAACTTGACATGTCCATCAATGAATGCTGTGTGTCGAAGTTGTATCAGTACTCGGATGACATGAGTTGGATGTTGTGACATTGCTCGCCACATTGTTGATGATGATTGATCGCCAAAGAGATAGACGATCACATTGAGATGGTTGGCAATGACAGCATACTCAATTGATTGAAGTGATGGAACAAGTCGAATGTCTGTTTGATGTTGGTCGATGAATGTCATCATGTCCACAAGTCCATTGGAGCAAGCATGATCCAACACACCAACAATGATTGGATGGTATTGTTGAGTGTTCTGAATGATTCCAGTGTCCATGAGCATGGTCATCACATCAACATCGCTGATCTTGATCGACTTGAGATCAGTCAGTACATTGAGGTTGAGATTGAGTGGACCATTTCCAGTGGCTGCTGTAGCGTCTTGTGCCACATCAAGAATGAACTTGATTGTTTGAGTGTCACCACGTTGTGCACATTGAGGTATCGCTCGAGTGAACAACAATCTGTGATTGGCTTCGATGAAGATCGTGTGCATCAACTTGATCAGTGAGTATGAGTGTGATGCTGCATTCTTTAAGATGTCGATGATGTCTTGGTCGTTGTTGGTTGTTTCCAGCCAACTCTTGATGAATGCTTGAACAACCTCATAAGTCATCTTGGTCTGTGGACAACAGGTCGATTCCATGATATTGCTCAGAGTGTCGATGCCAAATTTGTTAATGTTGCCTGATGCAATGTGTCGTGCCATCACCAGTCCAACCGCAGGTTCAACACACGCCCATAAGGCTGCTCTATGTCTCGCTCGTTTGATTGGTGAGAACTCATTTCCGTACTCTTCAACATCTTGGAGAGGCATGCAACCACGAGGGTGTCTGGTCATGATCATGTCGACGAGGGCAACATCGCCAATCCTTGCTGCCGCCCACAGTGCTTGTCGGTAGTCAGTCTCGAACACTAGATCTTGATTGAGCTCCAAAAGATCAATGCAGTCCTTGTCGCCATTTAGTATGGCACGTGCCATCACTGATTGAAAGGTGCATCTGATGTTTGGATGTGCCATCAATCGTCGCAGCAGGCCAATGGAGAGGATTCTCGGGTGAATGTCCACCACTGATGTGTTACGACCATTGTTGGGGTTGTTGTTGTTGGGCAGATCACACAAGAACATTGCCTGATCCAGGAGACCTTGCTTCAGTTTGTCGTTCAATAAAAAGAGTGGATCAATTATCTCCATTTCGTCTGTAGGGAGATCGTTGGTGATGATTGTGAACAGTCGCTTGGCAAATTCAAAGTGTCCATAGCGGACCGCTTCAGAAAATGAGTTCATTACTCTGTTTGGTGGTAGCTGGCTGGCAGGAATGTAACGGAGGATATGGTCGAGGTCTTCCTGAAGACCATGATCGGCACAGCTTAAGAGCATGCACCCAGCAACAATAGGATTGCTGTATATACTCGCACTGAATACTTCTATCATGTCGAAATCTTCTTTGGTCAACACGTCATCTTTGGATAATTCAGCAATGAACCTTTCCATCTCATCCGTTATCAAACTGAATGCCTCTCTCAATATGTCGTGATCCAATGCCAACCAATGTTCAATGTTCTCACTTCCAGTCAATATTTTGATAATACGACTGCCATCTTCGGTTTGAGCAAAGGTCTGATTGTTGACTGCCAGTGTTGATCGCCCAATGCTCGACTTGACCACACTAATAATACTGTCCCAACCAGCATTCTTGTAGTATGGGCCATTCTGTTTCAAATAGGTCAATAACATGTCCGGTAGTGATGAGTCGATTGCAAATGTCATGTTGGTGTTGGTCAAAAGAATGTCGAGGATGGGAGCATTGGCGTATATGATAGCGTAACTTATCATTTGAGAGTTGAATGGATATATGTTGGAGACAGAGTTGAATGACTTGATGAACCATTCATTGGCACCATACTTGATAAAGTCCACCAATATGTCACTGTCCACCAGTTGTTTGCCTTTGATCAGTTGACAATCTTTGATTCCAAATGAAGTCCTGTACAAGTCACCAATCATTCTCATGATGATCATGCCCAATCGTTTGTCTCTGAACACCATGTGGAATGCTGTTGACATTCGTGATGATGATGTTGATGTCGGAATGATCAAGTCCATCTTGTCAAGAGTGAGATGATCATCATCTATCTCTCCACGCACGTCCAGACATCTCAAATCGGATTGATTGAGTGAGCGAGTTAGTGAAATAGTTCAATTTGATTGATTGAGTGAGTGTGATTTGATGAACCTACCTATTCTTGATCGAGCGGATGTCTTTGAAAATTGAGTGACACAGATTGATGATTCGGATGAAACCATGACCATAGGCAATGTTGAGAACAGTGTTGATCGTGCGCAGTCGTCGTTCGTTGGTCATGTTGATGATGAATGGTGATGATGGCCATGTCTTGAGAAGGTACTCAATCACTTGATACGAGTTGGAAGTCGCGGCAATATCGTAATGTTCAAGACTTACAACTCCACCGATCTTTGGATCAACGAGTATCTTGAGCACAAATAGATTGTTCTCCTTACAAGCAATCCACAATGCCTTGTCCATCATTCCTGGGTCACACACCTTTCTGTCCATCAGTCTGTTGAGCACAAACTCAAACACCTCTGTGGTGTTGTTGATGGCGCACTCCAAGCTGTTGAATGAAAGTAGGGGGATCTTGGTGGGGCGCTCGGCCAAATGATCAAAGATCGCTCGGACTGTATCCAATGTGCAACTCTTAATCGCTTCGTCCATGATGTATTGCTGATAATCATTGTCAAAATCATTATCTGATGGCTGGACGTGCGTGGAGAGATAGATGATGCACTCCACGTTGCCTTTTTTGATGGCGTCCTCCAAATAGTCAAACGTGTAGTTGCCTTCACGCGTGACCAGTTGCATTAACTCCAAAGAGTGACCTGCAAGTTTTGAATACTTCTCGAGATCGTGGCCAAAGTGATTGTTGCTGATGAGTGTCTTGACCAGCTCGACTGTCACCTTGCCTTCTCGGTCATTGAGCTTATTCATCATTTTTTTGAGGGTGCGATCAGTGAGGGGGAGAGGACGGTGTTTCTGGCTGGCAATCAGCATGCCCATCTCGTGTGTCATCGTATTCAACAAAATCGATTCAACCTCGTCTGTCCACTCGCCTTGTGCCAAAGGATCACATTCTTTCAGTATGAGTTGAGCAACACTGATATTGTCACACTTGACTGCCTCCAACAGTCTGTTGATGATGTGTGTTGGTGGTCGGTCCAAAGGATGCTTGACCCGACACTCAACGTTCGGATGATTGGTTACCCGATTGAACACTGACAATGGGACCTTGCTCAAGTCCTTATGATCCACCGTTTGCATGGCAAACTTGACATTGGTGTTGTTGGTCATCTCGTCCAGCAACATATCGATCATACCAAGATGTCCTAGATCCATTGCACTCTCCACCATTTTCTTTGATGATGCTATGGCGTCGCTGATGAGGTCCAGGTGCTCGTCGATGAGATACTTGACAATGTGAACTTGTCCAGAGTCGATAGCATCACCCAAACATCTTTTGTTGATTACTTTGTATTCTCCAGTCACATTGGGATGTTGAATGATAACCTTGAGAGTGTCGATATATCCATTGCTGCAACATTTTCGAATGAATCTAGACCATCGATTTGATGTTGTAATGTCTGATGGCATATGATTCAAGAGGTATTCAACACTCTCGGCCATATCACAGGATATCGTCTTCTCGACTATTGATAACCATGATTCTGAATTGTTCAGCATACGGTGGATGGCAAACTCCTCGTTGAGCAGACGGAGCATGTTGACCTTTATACCTGGCCCTGTCATATCGCACTTGAGCGACCCAAAAGGAACGATTAAATGTTGAAGTAACAGTCGAGCAAAGTGTTCGTTGTTGTGACTGAGGGCGATCCCTAGATGTCTACCTTTGAGACCTTTGATAAAGCCATGTCCAGTCATGTCGAAGAAGGTCTGAAGCATGTACACGTTGCCACTCGTGACAACAGCGGTGATCACGTCAGTGTATATGTCCTTCTCACCGTACTTCATCGGTATCGACATGTTCGTATTCTGTAGCAGATGATCAAACACTCGTTGATTGTTGTACTCGATTGAATGTGTGAGCAATGTGTTGTTGGGAGGGTATGTCGATGCAACTCGATCATACTCCGTGATGAAGTATTGTGTTGCGTTGTATTGTATCATCTGTTTGAGATCGCCCTTATCAATTAACTGTTTGCCTTTGATCACTAACAGTTTAAACCTAGATGCTTGATTGACATCAATCTGAGAACGATGATGATAATCACTGACTTGTTTGAGTATCAACTGACACAATGATGTGTCACTGAACACTCTATGTATAACTTTCTTGTTGTTGTTGTTATTATTATCCATTGCAGTCATAAATAAGTGAACGAATTTGCGAGTTAGAACACTCTAAAAAGTGATGAAGAAAACAAGTTTATTTATGGCCTGCTGGAAGTTCAAGATTGAGTTGATTGATTCGGTTGGTGATCCATGTGATCATCTTGACATGTCCATCAATGAATGCTGTGTGTCGAAGTTGTATGAGTAATCGGATGACATGAGTTGGATGTTGTGACATTGCTCGCCACATTGTTGATGATGATTGATCGCCAAAGAGATAGACGATCACATTGAGATGGTTGGCAATGACAGCATACTCAATTGATTGAAGTGATGGAACAAGTCGAATGTCTGTTTGATGTTGGTCGATGAATGTCATCATGTCCACAAGTCCATTGGAGCAAGCATGATCCAACACACCAACAATGATTGGATGGTATTGTTGAGTGTTCTGAATGATTCCAGTGTCCATGAGCATGGTCATCACATCAACATCGCTGATCTTGATCGACTTGAGATCAGTCAGTACATTGAGGTTGAGATTGAGTGGAACGTTTCCTGATGCTTCTCTGGCGACATCAAGAATGAACTTGATTGATTGAGTGTCACCACGTTGGGCACATTGAGGTATCGCTCGAGTGAACAACAGTCTGTGATTGGCTTCCGTGAAGATCGTGTGCATCATCTTGATCAGTGAATGTGATTGTGATCCTGCATTCTTTACAATCTTGATGATGTATTTGTCGATGTTTGGTTGTCGTGTGGCCAGCCAACTCATGACGAATGCTTGAACGACTTCATCCGTCATCTTGGTCTGTGGACGACGTGTCGACGCCATGATGTTGTACATGGACTTGGTGTCAAAGCCGCCAATGTCTCCTGATGCAATGTGTCGTGCCATCTCCAGTCCAACAGCTGGGTCCACACGTGACCATAAGTCCGTTTGATATCTCGCTTGAGCTATCGGTAAGTGCCAATCCTCATCATCCAGAGTGCTATCATCGAGGTCAACCTGCTCCAAAGGCATACAATCATCAGGATGATAGATCATGATCATGTTGGCAGTGTCCACGTCGCCAACCCTTGCCGCTGCCTCCAATGCCTGACAGTAGTCTGTCTCGAATGTTTGATCTTGATTGAGTTCAAGAAAATTAATGCAGTCCTTGTCGCCATTGAGTATCGCGCGTGCCATCACTGATGCGAAGGTACATCTGATGTTTGGATGCGCCATCAATCGTCGCAGCAGGCCAATGGAGAGGATGCTTGGATGTATTTCATCGACAATTGGGTCAGGGAGATTTTTGGGGTTGTTGTTGGGCAGATCATACATGAACAATGCTTGATCCAGATGTCCTTGCCTCAGCATTACGCATATTAGTTTTCGTAGATCAAGTCTTCCCCACAGAGGGAGATCGTTGGTGAAGATTGTGAACAGTCGCCTGGCCATGTCAAAGTGTCCATTGAGTGTCGCCTCAAAATAAGTGATAATGACTTTTTCTGGTGGCAGCTTGCTGGCGGGCATGTGGCTTAGGACTAGGTCGAGATCTGACTGAAGACCACTCTTGCCACACCATATAATCATTGATTCAAATAATTGAGGATCAGTGTTCACATTCGACCAAACCCAATCTAACCAGTGGAAGGCTTTGTCCATGGTGACATCCTTGATGTCATTCATGATATAATCCTTTAACTTTGAGAACTTGCTGAAATCAACCCTCTCCCCCTTGGTGCGTCTTACCATCTTCTCCTCACCAGTCAATAGTTTGATCTCCTTGTTGATGTTTTGACCAAAGGAAGTGTTGAAGATTACCAGTGTTGATCGACCAATGTTCTCCTTGAGCACGCCAATACAATGGTTCCAACCAGCAAGGTTGCGCGGACCATTCTTTTTCAAGTAATTCCTCAACATGTCTGGAAGAGATGCGTCGATTGCAAATGTCATGTTGGTGTTGGTCACAAGCTTGTCGAGGATGTGAGTGTTGGTGTATATGATGGCGTAACTGATCAGTTGAGAGTTGAATGGGTATAGGTTGGCCACAGAGTTGAACGATTTGATGAACCATTCATTGGCGCCATACTTGATAAAGTCCACCAATATGTCTCTGTTCACCAGTTGTTTGCCTTTGATCAGTTGACCATCTTTGATTCCAAATGATGTCCTGTACAAGTCACCAATCATTCTCATGATGATCATCACCAATCGTTCTCTGAACACCATGTGGAATGCTGTTGACATTCGCGATGATGATGTTGATGTTGATGTTGGAATGATCAAGTCCATCTTGTCAACATTATCCATCTTGTAAACACCTTCCACTTCTAATTGAGTGCGATCATCTAATCCATCATCTGGTTGTTTCCTGTGTTGATTGAGTTGATATGAGCGTGAATGATTGAATGGGTTAGTGGAATAGATCCTTTAATTGATTGATATAATTAAAGAACATACCTCTTCTTGTTCGAGTTAATGTCCTTGATGATAGAGTGACACAGGTTGATGATTCGGATGAATCCACGATCATAGGCAATGTTGAGTACAGTGTTGATCGTTCGAAATCGTTGCTCA